CCCCACCCCCAGCCTTAGTCATAGGGGTGCAATTTCGTGGAGGGTCGCTACTCTAGCTATCTTTTGGGGTATTTATAGCCTTCCTTGTTCTCTTCTTGGCTTTGGTCTTTTATTGGCTCTTTTATTTTATACTAGGATTTGGTTTTGTGAAGGAAATCTCTTCCTCTGTCTCTCTTTCTTGTATAGTAATTCTTTATGAATTGGGGCTTCTGTGGACACTTCATTCCTCTGAAGCATAAATTTCTCTCCCAAACCTGTAGCTTCTTTTTTTATTACAGTGGTGAGATTCCATGTTTTTCCTTGTTCAATTGTATTTGTTCTCAATAAGATTTTTTTGGGTAAGTTTCGGTCTGAATTGTTTAGGCTCCAAAAGACTTTTTGTTATGCAGGACGGCTTATCATCCATGAACAGATGGCCCGTCCGATGTTGTTAATCGATGCTTGGAGGCTTATTTGCACTGTTTTGCTCACGTCAGGCAAAGAAGTGAGCTATGTGGCTTCCTTGGGCCTGAATTTTGTAGAACACAACTTACCGTTTAGCTACCAGCTTTTCTTCTTTTGAAATTGACTATGGCTGAGACCCTCCTCGGCCAATTCATTATGGTCAAAGGTTCCACTGTCGTTTCTTCCTTGGATTAACAACTATAAAAGAAGATGATGCTATGTTGGACACACTCGAACTGCATTTATCAAGGGCTCGGGCTTCCATGAAGGAGGCAGCGGACAAGCACCATCGTGATTTGTAGTTTAATGTGGGAGAGATTTAATCTTAAATTGGGGCCATATCTTTTAAAGTCATTGGTTAGGAAAGAAGTTTGGTGCTTCTGTTCCTTGCCAGCAACTCTTGGCTTAGCTCTCTGCAGATTTGGAGTGGCATTTGGATCCTGAGGCAGTGGTACTGTGACCAGCCACTGATAGATCAGCTACTGAAAGGGGAGTGTTGATAAGTTTAATTAATGGATTCGTAGCGAGTTAATTAGGTGGTAAATCTGAGTTTAGCTCAGCTAGAGAGTTGACTAGCCTCGGAATATCTTTTCGCCTTTTATATTGTTTATCATAGTTGATCAATAAAATTGAATGTCATTCATTTCATTTTCTTCTCTCATTCTGACTTAAGAATTCCATAATAGATCTAGGGTTCTAACATAATGGTCAGATATGTAGATTGTCCTGAGTCAACTTATATGCTTGTACGTTTATATGTTTTTTTATCATTATTATTTACTAATGTTAAGTCTTGTTTTCTCTTTCTTTTTTTTTCTTTTTTAACTATAGCATTTAAATTATGTAAAAAAGATCTAAAAATAGGTTGAATATGAAAATAAAAATTTAAAAACCGTACAAAAAGCTTAAGCCCAAAATCAGTTGCTCCAATCCAATTGAAATTGATCTTAATCAGATTGGATTACATGATACACTACTAATTCGATTGGATGGAATTTCTAAAAACCAATCTTTGATTGAATTGGGTGTTATATGACTAAAATATGATGGATTGGATTGGACGAACACCCTTAGAAAAAATTATAGTAAAGAAATAATACAAATTATAGACAGACAAACAAAACAATAAATAAAAAAGCTATCACATTTTCGTTATCTTAATGATAATATATCATTATAGAAAGTAATGAAAAAATAAGCTCATATTATAAAAATAACCATATAAGGAAAGTCAAAAGACAATATATTATTAGAAAAATCAACCTATATAATGAAAGTTAACATATAAAGAACATATCTAAAATACCGAATAGGGATATATCCGGTATTAAATGTGCCTTATTATTTAGAAGTAACATTTTTGTAATATTGTATATGAGTGGGTATTTTTAGATTCAAGACTTTAAAAGTAGGCATTTTGTGTAATTATTTCTTATTTTAGTGATTGTTTTTGTTGTTTTCCATCCTTTTTTCATACTTATCATTTTCACATATTACACTTTTTTTTTCTTTTTCAATGTGATCTTCATAAATATATTTTTTTTCTTAATTGTCATGATGAAATAATTCCTTATATATGTCCCTGTCCAAAGAAGAAACTACTACATTCATAGGTAGGACTGAACAAAAAAAAGAAAATCTGGCGCATAAAGATAAGTGAAATAATTCCCTCTCATATATGTACTTAGTTGACATGATTTTCTTTTTATTTTTTAAAAATAGCTATAACTGAAACGAATGGTTTCACACACACATATATATATATATATTATATTTGTATAATATAATGAATGAAATGATCCGTTTCATTTAGACTAGGACATATAATATATTTAATATATTATATAACAATATATCATTCTTTTTCTTGGTAGTTCTCTGATCAAAACCCTAAAAAAATAAATGACGCCCCTCTGCCCCTCCTCCGGAGTCGACATTCACCCTCCATCCTTCGCGAGTCACCATTGCCTTCATCTCGTTCTTCACCGTTTTAAGTTCTCAGTCTCTTCACATTTTAAAACCGTTAAACCGACTGATTTTAATCGGTCAACGTCGGATCCTTTATTGTAACTGGTGCTTATTCTCATCGATAATAACAACTTATATTCTGAAAAGAAAATAAAACTAGTGCAATTAGAAAAAAAAAAACAAAAAAAATATATATTTCCTAATATTCCTTTATTTTCATCACGAAATAAAAAGTTCTACTTAGCTGAAAAGAATTCGATTTTATTTCTTTCTGAGCACTCGGCCTAGCTTGCGGACGCCTTGCCGTTCCCTTGTTTCGGACAACTAAAGGATCTCTTAGTACTTCAAACGGATTAACTTCATCAATGGACTCTTGTTGGCTCGCATTAGGTGGCTCTCTTTCCATCAAACTCTTAAATTTGATGCATAAATTTGCCAGTTATGTTCTTGTTTCTTGGTAGAATTCTTCCACTTTTGTGGCATAGTAAGCTTCCGAACCTAATGAGTTCCAATATCTGCTATGAGACATTGTTATTAGTTTGATATTGCAATTGGAATTGTGCCTTTGCATGAGCAGTCCACCGTGACATAATAAGCGAATATGGAATCCGTGTTATGTTTAGATATAATTTACTAACAGTAAATATTAAACCAAAGAGAGAGACAACCAATTTCACGTTCAAGAACATTCACCCATCTTTGCTTTCTCAAGAACAAAAGGTAGCCGAAATTCACGGCTATGAACAAACCCACAGTTTTTTATAGTCGCAAACAAAAGCCCCAATTTTTTGAGTTACATACAAGCAACACAAGTAAAAATCTAACGATCAACACCTATCTCTCCTCAAGATTAAACTAGTTTCGCTGAGGAGACATACATCTCATGATTCACGAACACGAACAAACACCCATTTTGGATTTCGTGAAAATCAGAAACCGCCGATGAAAAAAGCCACAATAGGGTAGCCGTCGATGAAGAAAGCCACATAAGGGTAGCCGAAATTCACTGCTAAGAGCAAACCCAATGTTTTTAACAGTCGCGAACAAAAGTCTCAATTTTTTCTGAGTTACATACAAGCAAAACAAGTCAAAATCTACCGCTCAACAACTTTCTTCCCTCGTGATTAAATTGGTTTCGCCAAAGAAACAAACCCCCCGAATCACGAACACGAACAAACACCCATTTCGAATTGTGCAAAATTCAACAACCGCCGATGAACAAAGCCACGGTAGACCTTCGGTGGAAAGAAGCCCCTATTTGCATGAGTTAGCTACACTAAAATCCTTAAACGACTGTCCGTTTTCAAATGGGGTCTGGCCATATAATTAAAGTATTTCTTCTTAATTTTATATTACTATTTTGTCTGCAGTTATCACGTTAGGCTGCCCCTCCCATTCACCAAAAACCAAGTAATTTTTCTCTTTAAATCAAGGCCATCAAAGTGATATCCAACGATTGTAGTTTATTTTTGGACTGGTTGCATTAGAGGTAGTGCCGGATGGAAGACAATTCTAATATTTAATTATATTAATTATTATATTATTATTAATATAATAAATATAATTATATTCATACAATATAATATATAATATTTTTATAAAATAATAATTATGATATGATATTATAATATAATATTATAATTATAGAAATTGTCTCCACTCGGTATCCGGACTAGAGCGTCACTTGTTCATTTTTTATAAAACATGTATATTTTTTCTTTAGAATGTGTATATTTCATTTTAAAACATGTATATTTCTTTTTATGGTAAAATATACAACTTATACATATTTTAAGAGGAAATATACACATTCTAAAGAAGAAATATACATGTTTCAAAGAAAAAAATACATAGCCCGGTGCCGGACTAGAGACTTTACCATATTATTATTATATTATATTATATTATTGTATTATTATATTATATTACGTGTCTAAATTTTATATTGGGAAGATTATAAATTTTAAATTTCATTAAGGTATTATGAGTATTATGAAAGTTCATTAATTGTACTATGCCGATTCCCGTATAATCTAAAAGCTAAAGTTGCCTTTAGGCTGCCTCTGATTTTAGTTGTAGATTCTTCAAAAAGGAGATTTACCAAACATTAAAATTAACTTTTGCTACAAGCAGAAGGTGATTTTAGGAGCGAAAAGTAATACTAAACCCAACCTTAATATTACATAAACATCATCTTAAATTAGGCGGCAACAAATAGAAGGGGCAAAATCAATAAAATTTCATAGTTCAGAGGGCGTACAAACCAGTTTTTAAAATTCACGGGACAAAGTGAAAGCGCTACTATAGTTCAAGGTAAAAGTAAAATTTATCCTACTTAGAACTATGTAATATTGTGTGTGTGTATATGAATCTTTATTATTTATTCTCTTTGCCTAAAATTTCTTGTTCTTGCCTGCTTTTTTGTGTGACTTGGTGTAATCCTTCACTTGAATTTCTCTCCTAGATTGTGTGCATTAATTCAAGGAGTTGTTTACATTATTTAAAGTGATTACTATCAATTATCCGAGCATTTTATCTTTTCTCTTCTCATAATACCTCCAAAAGTTCAAAAACTAGAAAACAAACGTCAAGCCACATTGGTTTAAATTATTGTTTAAATCTCTTTCTTTACTATTTTTTTCACAAATTTAAATTTTTATTCAAATTTTTCTATTTAAATTTATGAACCAAAGGAACCATAAATTTTGTTGAGAGAGTCGATGCACCTAGAAACTAAAATAACCAAACTTAGTGCATGTTTGGTTGGGGGATTGAGAGATTCAAATCCTATGATTAGGGTTGAATCTATGTTTGAAAGCCCAAAATAGTTGTAATGGGTTAGAATCAGAATCATTGATCCGGATCATTGTGGGCTCTCATTTTGAAATCAGCCCCCCCTGATTTTACCGTTTGAAACCCATTTACACAGTAAAATCACTGTGCTCTTAATGCACCCACCCAAGTTCCAACCACCCGTGCTTCCTCTCTCCCATGCTTGGACAGAGAATCTGCTTTTTCTTCTCACGTGAGTCAACAGCAGAGAATCCTCTCAGGCTTTTTTGGGACTCTCTTCTCCTCTTCTCCGCTCTTGTCATCTGCTCTACTTGTTCGCAAGGGCCATATCGGTCGGCGTTGATGAGTAGTGGCCGGAGTAAAGGGGTTTTTGTCAACAATCGAAGAAAACTCCAAATCCGGTACCACTTTCACCGATACTATGGAAGCAAGTTCATTTGTCGCCTTCACCGGAGATAGGACAGACGGTCGTTGAGGAATCGGAAGAAACCTTCTTCTGCCTTTGGAGTGCTCCATCCACCGTCCTTCATCTCGTTGTCCGACTCGAACTCGTTAACAGTATGCTCTCTTAACCTTATGCAATTTTTCGTTTGTTCGTTCAAAAGAGTTGGTTGTGATTTTGATTTCTGGAGACAACCCAGTATTTTATTGGTTGTGATTTTGGTTGTGACTTTGTTTTCTGGAGACTGGATAATGTTTGATTTGGTTGTGATTTTGATTTGTGGAGATAGTGTTGGCCTGAGTTGTGATTTTTGGTTCAATTTTTCGTTTCTGGAGATAGTGTTTGTGATTACCATCATTTTCTTTTTTATTGAGATCTTTTCTAGAATGTAAATCGCTTCGTTTGGCATAGAATATCTTACGATTGGAAATGGAAAAATGTTGGTGCATAGCAGTTATAGAGGCTGACTAATACGATAATGCACACAAATGTTGAAAAAAAAAGTAAAGAACTTTTGATTTGTTTCTGAAGTTTCAATTACCTGTAAGTAGGCAGAAGTTTCTGAAGTTTCAATTATTTGTAATTACCTGCAACGTGATTTGTTTCTGGCTGTTGCTTTGATAATCCTGAAATGCTTTGGAATTTGGACGGGGGGATTGTTCTCTAACAAGTGGTTGTTGTGTCTCAAAAATCCTGATAAGCATGTAAGTTCGTTTTTGTGTTTAACAACTGGAATTTGGAATTTGACTGTTGATTTATTTTACGTTTGATTACAACTTTTAGTTCATGTAAGTTTGATGACGTTTCGGTGTATGAAACAAGTTGGTGGGGATTTTCATACATGAATGAGTGCAAAACGAGCATATGCGAAGTCTTATAGGAATGAGTGTTGGGTATCTAGTCTTCCAAGTTCCAACCTACCATATAGCTGATCATATAGTTATATATATATATATACATATATTTACATATATGTAGACATACATACATATAGAGATAAAATGGCGAACAAAATGTTAGGTGCCTTTAAAGAAAAGGTAATAAACATACGCCAACAAGTAGTTAAAATACAATCTGACTTATAACTTATTACGTACACAATAAGTGTACACAATAAATATCTGTAGTAAGTAGTGATGCTGGGGGACTATAAACTTGTTACTTGAGTACGTAATTCAACAAATGCTAATCATTGTGATATGTGTAATTGTGTGAGCCCGGAAGCTTGATTGTTGTTGTGTCTGGTGTGCTGTTTGTTGTTGTTGTTGTTGTTTATCAGTTTTGTAGTCATTTTTGTCAATGTGGTGTCCTTTGTTTTTGCATGTGTTGTCCTGCTCTTGGTTATGCTATGCGTGTGTAGATGTGTTGCCTAAAATTGTGAATCTAGAATCTCGCAAGTGCACGAGTCAACAAGTAATAAAATGATGAATAACCAAGTATCGTCCCACAGGGATTGTGTGTTTTTGAAATCAAGTTGCTAAGTTAATTCTATTCAAGTTTTTAAGAAGAAAACTAAAGTTGATTTTAAGATGTTAAAAACTAATGATAATCTGACTGTAAGAAAATGAACAACAAAGATAAAACTAATTAATAACAAAATGTGCAAATAAAATTGGCCAAAATCACTGTGCGTGGCTCACAATTGCTAAACTGTCTCCTAACAATGCTGTGCGATGCTGCAGCAACGGACGGCAACGAAGACTTCTTGTTAACCAGATTTATTAAACCAGGGATTTTCCAATCCTCTGTCTACTGATCTTAAAGCTAAAACCCACAAATTCCTTTGCAAATCTAGACTCTAAAATCATAGAATGAAGCTCTAAATCATATGGTTATGCAAGACACAATATATTCCTATATCATGTGAATAAAAAATCTAAAACAAGATCTAAGAACTTGCACTATTCAAGTTGTGTCCACTAAAACTAAATCTTCCCAGATCTAATCAAAGCTATACTCCTCTCTTATGATTTCCCAATCACAGTTAAGGCACAAATTCAGCTCACTTGAATAAATAAAGAAATAATCATCAGATCCATTCAACATCAACTAACATTTCAATAGTAAACAACTCAACAATCTCAGCCAGCAAATCATAATCTTATAGAGTTATATATGGATTCGAGTTCAGATTTATAGAGAAACGTAAATGTTCTTCAACAAGGTAAAACAAAGTATTGAGAGTAAGAAAAACTAAGGTGATGAGGAGAGAATCCGAATCTCCCTTTTCCAAGGTTTCTTCTAGCTCTTCCTGCATCAACAATGGACCTTCCTTTACGTTCAACACCCTGTGACGTTTTCTTCTTCTTCTTTCCAGTACTGGAGCTGGTACTTGATCAGAGAAATAGAGGTGGTTTTCTTTTCCAAGTTCAGCCGCCTCAACGTTACAAAATATGACCAAGGACGTCTTCTTTCTTCTCAGCTGCAGGTACTTATTGTACCCTAATTCCACGTGGCAGCACATGAGAAAGCCTCCAATGAGTGGCTCAATCAGCACCCTTCACGGACAAAATCAGCCCATTAACCATCTCAGGTCCAGCTGTCAGCAAAACACACGTTTGGCCCAGCTCGCCTTGCTGCAGCAATGCACAGCAATGCTGACTAGGATTCCTTCATACTCTAGAAACGAAAAACTGCTCAAAGCTCCAAACGACCACGTTTTCTTAAAGCTGAGATTATAGCACAAATGGCACCTGAATTAGCTCTTTTTTAAACACTAATCACGAGAGAGAGAATTTATGAATCACAAATAACTAAAAACTATTAACAAGACAAAATATAGGAGAAAACTAATACTAATTACCCTCTAGGTAATAATTTAAGCCTGGGAAATGCTCAATTAACTCTATTTTCATAGAGTTATCAAGATGGCAAGGAAAACTAGAGAAGAGAGGCCACTTTTTTGGAGCCCTGCTGCAGAGGCTTTTCTGCTAGAGAGATCGTACGAATATCACGACGATAACCACGGTCGCCTACCAGAAACTCATCACTATAACCAATGGGCCTCAGACATGGCCACATTTTTTGATGGCTATGTTTCCGAGGGTGAGCGTCTTAGGGAGAAACGACGACGATTGGGTAAGGTATACGCTACGTACAAAATGTTATAAAATCATACAGGAGTAGGATGAGATCCTAGCACTACAACTTTCACCTGTTCCAAGGAGCTGTAGAAAGATATTTGTAAGGTAACATATGGGATTGATTATACTCACAAAAAATAAGGACATATTTAAATTGTCACAAACTTACCTCTCTAGTAAGAGGTTACTAACCAATTCTCTATTTTGTTTCTAGAGAAACCGCGATGCGAAAACATTATTTACTAGTGGTTGGAAGTTGAACGAGGTGTACTTGGCTGCCATTTTCCCAACTAGAGTTGGAGTTCTGGTTTAGGTGCATATCACCCAAATGTAGGCGGACAGGCAACGGATGATGCACCCGTTGAAGATCTTACTGGTGCTGATGAACACCAACAGCCTAGCTAAGATGCTCCATACCAGAACATCGATGATGAAGATGTTCGTAATGATCTTGCCGAACGAGTCGATCGTTACGGAAAGCGAAATGTCACAAATATTGCCTCATCGTCACGTGTGATTCGGAAAAAACAGTCCACATCAAGGAAATCGAACGATTCTTCGCGAGACATGCTACTCTCTCTAGTGAAGGAAATGACAGATGATTTGAAAGAAGAGTTTCGTACAAGCAAAGAAAGCCAGCCAAGTTACAACAGTGTAAATGGCCCTAGTGAAGCTGACATCATCTTAAATTCGCTTGGGGAAATGGGAATTGATAAGCGTACGCAAACTCATGCTTTTGACAAAATCATGGCTTCCCCCACTTGGCGGCCAGTCTGGGGTAGACTTGATGAAGACATCAGGCGGACCTTTATTAGCGACTTTGTTGAAGTCCCAAAAACTCCACTTGTGCATCATACTCGGGATCCTTATGGCCAGCCATCTTGCAACTTCTCTCAAGTCCCAAATACTTACAACCAGCCACCTAACCCATACAATCACCTACCTAACCCCTATAACCAGCCCCCAATTCCATATAATCAGCCTCCACATCCCAATAACCAGCCCTCAAACCCCTACAACCACCCGCCTATGCCTTAGATGGCCAAGTGTAGTTTTACATGGTCCCATTTTCCCCCATGGTGGACCACGGATTAGTGTCTAGTAATAGCATTCGAGTGTTGTCTACTTAGACTGCTTTATCTGAGTAACTAGTTTTCCACTGTAACGTTTAAGTTGATTATGAGTTGTATTATTTATTTCTGAGTAATGTGGTTGGACCATTGTTCCGGATTGTTGTGATGTAATTGATTTAAAAACACTTGAGTTATAACCAATTCCTATTTTAGTATGGAAATTGTGCTACATGAAGTGGATTACAACAATTGAGATCGTACTTGTAATAACTTGTTTGGTAATGTGTCGTTACAGGTTAATGTGTAAAGCAACATAATGCAGCCACAAGGATTAACGAATGAACGTCACGAAGTGGATTCAAGAAGAGCTTCCTGCCGAAGAAGGGGCTACCTTGTAGCAATAGCATCCGCTACAGCCGCAGCCGCCTTCATTTTTTATGACCAAGTACCAAGGCCGATGCATAACTCATCTTTAAGGGGTATAGACAAAGTGAATGAGTTATTAGCAAACAATAATGAGGCGGCAATGTTTAACAAGGTGCGTATAGGACCACGTGCATTTATGATTATTTGTGAAGTACTAACTGAGAGGCGCTTGTTACAACCCACAAACAACATGAACGTCCCATAACAAGTATTTGTCTTTTTAACTATCGTTGCACAAAGTCAAACTAATCGTGAGGCACAAGATGTATGGCAACATTCTGGGGAGACCATTTCACGGAGATTAAGTGACGTCCTAGATGCCATTTTTGCACTGCACGATGATTTCATTAAACCCCCAAACTATGCCAAAGTTAGTGATTTTGTACGTGGCAATCGTCATAGATATGGGACATGGTTTGACGTAAGTTGTGCTTCTCAGTCTTATCAATTTTAGTAACCTTTTTTAACTTGTGTTTCTTATTAATATGTTACAAGACTGCTTTAGAAAGATACTCACCTCTTTCATTCTGGAACTAATGTTCAGGACTGTGTCGGAGCAATTGACGGGACTCATATACCTTACACACCGATTGGTGTTCCAAATCCAATGGCATATCTCAATAGGAAGGGCGTCAACTCTCAGAATATAATGGCAGCATGTTCCTTCGACATGAAGTTCACGTACATGTTAACTGGTTGGGAAGGTTCAGCACATGATGCACGAGTGCTTGCAGATGCGGTCGACACACCGAGGTTTAAATTCCCACATCCACCACCTGGTAAGACTTCAAACTAGCGACATGATTATCAGTTTATTACATGTTACGACCTCCAAATTCTAACAAAATTCGTTTAAGTTGCACAGGAAAACACTATCTTGTTGACGCAACATATGCAAACAATGATTGTTTTCTTGCTCCATATATAGGTGAGACATACCATTTGCCTGACTACCAAAGGAAAAGTGGTGGATTTAAGGGACCTAGAGACATTTATAACTACAAGCACTCTTCCTTGTGAAATTGTATAGAGCGAACATTTGGTGTTTGGAAGGCTAGGGTCCCTATCCTAAGGCGGCCCAATAATACTTATCTAATGAACAAATAAGTGAAGATTCCAGTGGCATGTGCAATCTTACATAATTTTATTCACATGGTAAATGAGGGGGACCCGCTTCTAAATCAATACTACCGTGATGCAGTACCGGTTAGTGAAATAGATCTAACCAATATTGACGAGATGGATGACGATGACAATGGCGACAATGTCCCTGAGGGGCCAACTGTAACATGAGCTACTGTTAGCCGAACGGAGATGGGTCGTTTTAGGGATCGCCTAGCGAATAACATGTGGGTGGAATACTAGAGAAGCCGTGGGAGACACGATTGAAAGTGCAAATTGGTTATGGGATTCTGCAATATTACTTCATATACATGTATCAATTATGTTTGCAACATGAATGACTATTAGTTGCCTACTTTCTGGTAGACCTTTAATATGAAGTATGAAGTATCAATTATATTTGCAACATGAATGACTATTAGGTTAATGACCTTTCATATGACTATAGTGGATTCTGCAATATATAGGGTGCGTTTGGAATTGATTCCAAAATGTTTTTATTTTCTGTACGAAAATGGAAATGAAAACGTTTTCATTTTCATTTTTGAATTATTTCTGAAAATGCATTTAGTAGTTTTATTTAGAGATTGATTTCAGTTTTAAAAAAAACTGAAACTGCGTTTGGTAGTTTCATTTTTGAAAACATGTAATAGTATTTAATTTATTAAATAAATAATAATTGAATCACAAATAAAAACACTAATAATTAATAAAATATGAAAATTACAATATTAGCTTAAATTATTGTCGCCTATATGAATCTCACATTTGATTAGCTAGATGATCTCTAAAATTAACCATGTAATTACGTTGTTGTCGACCACCCATTTCATATGTTTCTGCTTCTTGTGCATCCATACCATGTTGTTGTTCCTGTTGCCCTTCTTGTTCTCCCTCAATATCTTCTACTGGCAAATTAACCTCATATTGTCTAAATAGAGGATCATCTCGCGCGTGCATCTTAATTAAATTGTGGATCACACAACAAGCTATTGGTATAACATTTTGTCTTGGCATCCAATAATTGGTTATATGCCTAAGAATTTTAAACCTTACTTTTAAGATCCCAAAGCACCTCTCTATGCAATTACACAGTGAAGAGTGATAATAATTGAATAACTCTTGTGGTCCCGTTAGTTGACCACCATTTCTAAACTGTTGAATATGGTACCTCTGACCACGAAATGGTGCCAAAAAGCCGGGCGTGTTGCTGTAACCGGAATCCACAACGTAATATTTTTTTTGGGGGGGGCGCCAAGAATGGTGATCCTTCCCATCCGGTATTGACATAAGTGAATAGCATATCAAAACTACACGCCGCCATTACATTTTGAGTGCACGAATGTCTTCTTCCTCTGTAGACTATCTGTTGATGTGCAGGTGGGACAACCATCATGTGTGTATCGTCTATTGCACCAATACAATCCTATTAAAATACATAAGGCGTGAGTTACGATTAATTTAAAATTTTTTGTCATATTAGTAGTATATGAGCAGAGTCAGATTGTACCTTAAACCATTGTCAGTACTTAGGGTTGTGTTGAATCTCTGAGGGGACAATGTTCATATTTGGTAGTTTTATAACTTGAGGTGCTAACGCAGACAATGTGGTAAGCATATTATCAAAATGCCGGTGTACTGTCTCTCCAGAATGACAAAATTTATCTTGTATCTCTCTATTGCGATCTGAGTGAGCATTAGAGATTCTTCTACGGAAATACTTGAAGAAGGCAATAGATTGCGGTCTCGAATTAACTGAACAATTGCTTCGAACGTGTCTCGATGCATACGACACATTTCAAACAAATTTTTGGGATGTCCATGTAATTGTTCTAAAACATATTCTCGTCCTGTTAACGTAAAATTACGACGAGGTTGCCTAGTTCGTCTGTTTCCAATCGACATCAATAATTGGATATAATGTTGTAGTTGTTCATCATCATCTGATGACTGGAGAAAGTCAATTGCGGCCGGCCATTTCGTATTATCGTCCTTATCACACATCTAAAATAATACTTTCATCATTAAAATAAATGTCAATTTGTAAAGTATATACACACACACACGCAGGGGCTGATACAGTCTCCATGGAGGCCTCCCATTGGGGCTGATTCAGTCCCTGGGAGGCCCCCGTTGGGGCTGATGGGGGTTGATAATTAGCCCCCATTGGGGCGGATGGGGGTTGATTATCAGCCCCCATCAGGGCTGATTATCAGCAGCGCCTATTGGGGCTGATGAGGGCTGATAATCAGCCCCTATTAGGGCTGATGGGGGCTGTAATCAACCCCCATCAAGGCTGATTATCAGCCCCCATTAGGGCTGATGGGGGCTGATTATCAGCTGATTTTCAGCCCCTATTGGGGGCCTCCCAGGTCAGCCCTAATGGGAGGCCCCCAGGGGCTGTATCAGCCCCAACGGGGGCCTCCAGGGGAAAAAATGGAAAAAAAGACCAAATCAGATCAAGCATAGCAAAATTAGAAACAAAACAACACTAAATCAAACGGAAAACTAGCAACCGATTTGGTTGAATATAGCAAATCAAACGGCGAGACGAGAACAGGGTCAAAACGGAAAAAAAAACAAATCAGAAATTGCTCAACCAAATCGATCGGAAAATCAAACACCATCAAACATTTTTGGCTAGGGGCATACCTTGGTGAGAAAACGGTGAGATGAGAACGAGGCAGATCTGACAACAAGAGACCTGAGGAGCTCAGGCGAACGGAGGAGCTCGGGTGAGAAGCAAACGGTGAAAGTCAGGCGAAACGGGCGAGAAGAATGCCGGGGCTCGGCCGGGAAGAAGAGCTCGGTTGAAGAAGGGAAGGGAAGAAGAGCTCGGCTGAAGAAGGAAGAAAAAATCAAAAGAAGAGAATGTGAGGGCGGGAGGCTGAAGAAAGAAGGAAAACAAAAATGAAAACCAGAAAATGAAAACGGATTTTTTTCGTTTTTAGAATTCCACAAAACGACAAAAACATTTTTGTTTTTGTTTTCTAACACAAACTTCGCCAAACGCGTTTTTATTCCTGTTTTCAATTTTTTGCTTCGAAAAACGTGAAAAATGAAAACAGAAACGGTAACAAACAAGCCCATATGTTCTCTCTTTCCGATTTAAGGATCCTAAGCTCCGAGTGTGGATTTTGCAACATGAATGACTATTGTCCCTGTTGCATCTGAGCGGTTTCTTGCATATTTGGCTGCCCCTGAGTGGTAGAAGCACCACGCCAAATTGATTGCCCTTGCCCAAATTGCAGAGGGTTGCTCAAAGGTATCAAAGGGCTTCTATTGTTAATAACTGACTAAATTCAATTTGAGCTACATAACATGGTTATAATCATTATGCATTTTCTTGTATGGTATTTGATAATATGTTCCTGTTACTTGTCAGGTGATGTTAAAGACTTTGGACCATGTGGTGGCAATGGTCTTGAACTCATTTCGTGATCCTCATGGTTTGGCCTTTATTTCTATTTTTATTACATATGTGAATGAGACGGGTGGTATACACTTTGTGAAGTACCATTCCAAAATAGGCAAACAGAGACATGGACAATCAATATGTTTACTGTTACATTGAGTGCGTCAACCAACTTTTTTATGTATATGTTGCAGTTTTCTTCAAATGGAGAAGATCCAGTGGTAGTTGTTACTTGATGTTAACCAATGCATAAGGCTTCCAGATGAGATAGTTGGAAAGAAGCCACATGTATTTGATCAAATGTTAATTCATAAATCTGTGTACACACGGATCATAACTTGCATTATTATGACTATGATTCTTATTGGCAGGAATTGGAGAGGCTATTAGCTGCGAAGGAAAGACTATGATCAAATGAATTGTATGTTGCTTAGGGTATTCAATAGAAATGTTGGTGCACTACAGTATGAAGTATGTGCTTCATGAGTTGACATATTATTCCTCCCATGTTAAGGAACTATAGTTCGTTTGGTTTTAAACAAAAAAAAGGAGTTCCAGTGGCAGAGGCTATAACCGTTTTTCTCCATTACTTTTTGTTACATATATAACTTGTTTTTCTCCATTCACAGATGATTTTTCTTGTTGTTACTTCTTTGTAGGAAAGGCTATAACCGGATGATTGTATCAAGGAATGAGGCTGCCATTGAAAATTTATCTAGTACCTCGAATAACGTATTTGATTTGGCGAATTTGGTCTTGCCATTGATTCTGCAATCTAATGATGGTGCTGTTCTCTCTTTCCGATATATGTTCTCTCTTTTTTCTTTTCTTTTCTTTTCTTCTTTTAATTTTTTTGTTTAGAGTATAACTTTTGACTAACTTGTGCTGTATTAAATAGGTGTTGTTCAAAGAGATGGATATTGGTATGAATGAGATTCTTCAAAAATTTGAAGAGGCTATTAATTCATTCCGGAAGAAGAAAGTAGGTAAACATTTGAAGAAAGCTGTTCTATCCGTCAAGTTAGTATTGTATTTGACATGCGTGATCTTTTATGTTATTAAGAGAAGTTTCTATTGTGAAGAAAAATAAAAAGACTATAAAAGAAGTCTCTACATATGTGGATCTAAAACGCCAGTCATCATTGAATATTCACCTCAGAAGTCAGGCCTTATATATTGAAGCAGATTCTTTTTCTTTCAGTATATTCTTAGTTAGTTAAGATTGTTATGATACTTCTATTATTATAGACGTCATTATATAATTGGTAGAGACAACTTATGAAGTTAGTCTATTCACCCAGGAAAGTGGAATCTGTTGACCCAATTGTATATGAGATAGCTTATTTGAGTTACATTTTTGTTGTTTGCTTTATAGCGCCTTTCGACATTGGTATCAAGGTGAGCAAAGGTGTTCTCAAAGAGAATCTCATCCTCTTGGCAAACAGTATGACATATGCTGGAAATTTGATTGACTTCAATTCTGGTGGTTATAAGGCGCTTACTCAGTCATTGAATGTTCAAGTTCCATTTACTGAAGCTACACTAATTGTAAGAAATTGGAATTTTGTCTAATTTATTGAAGGAATAATAATAATTGTGCTTTGGCAATTATGATGGATGAATATCAAATTTTTTCTATTGTTGAAGACACCAAAAAGATTCAGTTGAAATCTTTCAATCGAGTGATTCTTGTTGCGTCTTGATTGTATGGCATACAAACTTCAACTTGAGAACAAGATGGTACTTATGCAATTGCTACCATGGATAAAGGAGGCATATGCTTGTATTGACACAGATGGGCAATTTGAAACATTGTACGATAAAAAGGAAAATGGTAAGAAACATTAAACAACAAAATGCTTGTTCAACGACAAATTACACTAACGACGGTTATTCTATTGTTAATTGAAAACCTTAATCACATGTCGTTTTTCAGTTCATCATTTCTTCTGCAGTGTTAACTGATCCAAAAAAAAAAACGGAGATCTTGTTTAGCGACTTGACTATGATTGGATAAGTGAAAGATTACTTGTGTTCTCCGTTTAACATTTTTGTCCGAATTGATTAATAGTAGGTGCATCAAATCATTTTTTTCTATTAATTGGCTTGTTATATAATGGAAGCCGTGGGAGACAAGTTTGATATATGCTTGGCTTGTTATATAATTTTAATTCACATTTTTTTCATTTATTTCTCACTTAGCTTATTATAATTTTGAGTTATAATTATTTGCATAATTTTTTTCTAGTACTTCATTTTTTTAATTATATGAGGAATTATATTTTTTTTAAATTACACGTAACGAATTATATTTATTATATAATTTCTTAAATTACATTTATTTTGGTCGTGATTCAAATTCAGAAAACAAGACAACCAAACACTGGTTCGAATCACATTTCAGGTTAGAATCAGAATCATGCATATACACATCCAAACGAAGGTTCTAATCAGTCTGAATCATGATTCAAATCATGAATCATGGATTTGAATCAAATGACTCAAATCACTATAATTTCAATCCTTATACTAAACGGACTCTTACTGACAACACAACCACCTTGACCATTATTGTAGCTAATGTTTCTTGTGAAGTAGCCTAACTTCCTATTAAGTTTAGCCAAATAACAACGGGTCTTGTAAAAATATTACAGGGAGATACTTCATGTCAGTTGATTATGGAAAAAATATCGGGTCACATTAAGTTTCGAATGACACTTAGATGTTTGCTACCTCTTTTAGGCAAAGATCAAGTCATAGATAGAACATTTACGGGAAATGATGATTCCTATTAGATCCTAATCTTTTTGTGTTTGGTATGAGAATTCGTGTCATAGTTCGAATCATTATTCGTAACTTGCTATAGTATTTTCTCTCATAAAAAATACACGTAAATAAAAAATGATTCTGAATCATGAATCTAAATTCGTGAACCAAACGTCCACACTTGATTGGGTTTACAGTCTCGAGATTTACTTCTACTGGTATGACATGAACGACTATGAACATGTCCGCTAGCTAAGATGAGAAGCCAAGCATTATTGGCAAACGATTAATCGAATCCTTGAAGGCTGAGGTCAGCAACCCATTGCCTTGTGAGAGGAGATGAAGTTGAAACTTACAAAAAAAAGTAAGGTTTGAATTGCTCAATCCATCCAATTCAAATGAATCCGTCAGATTAGATTGGGTTAGAAGGCGGTTTAAATAATAAGGGGGTGTTTGGTAGAGGAATTCGTTCCCTTATTCGAATTATGATTCGTGATTCGCTACAGTATTTTCTCTCACAAAAAATACACGTAAATCGAAAATAGTTTAAATCACATGGTTTGAATCCTCCAACCAAACGAACCTTAATAGATTAAAAAATCCCAACTCAAAGGTTTAAATTGATTTACGGAAACATTTTTCAATCCGTTAAATTTGCAAATTCAAATTATAAAATAATATTGATGAACGATTAATATTGAGTTTTATTGAAGTTAGTTTTTTATAATTAGTTAAATTAGATTTTATCGAATTATTTTATGTTATGGTATATATATTTTTAATTTTAAATATTAAAATAAATTGGCCTTCAATAGTCTAAGACGTCGTTTATTTCACCGATTCGAATTTAGAATTCGAGTTTTACTACAGTAAAAAGCTCTCAGAAACAGTCACATTTAATTTTTTTGTAACAGTAAAAAACACTCACATAAAGTCACATCTCAACTCGAATTAAAAACTCAAATCAACGAACTAAACTAAACGGGCCTTAAGCTTCAAAAGCTTAAATTTTGAGCTTATCCCGTGGAATTTAATCCATAAAATTTGATAATTTTAAATGTTGAAGTTTAAATTTTAGGTTTATCCCGCAGAATTTAATCCATAAAATTTGATAGTTTTAATTGTAATTGAATAGGGAACTTCCAAATTAATAACATATTTTTCTAATTCGATAGTTTTGAGTTAGATCGTTGAAGTTCAAAAATAATTGGTAGAATTAACCCCTTCTTATGTACATGACGGTTGCACATTTTTGCTTTTTTTTTTTTATAACATATTTGTATAAAGAAAAGGGTCTTTTTGTCATTTAACATGATACATGATGGCGTTCTTTTCCTTTGTTCCTTTCCCCTCCTTAAAATACCTGTACGAAGAGAAGGGTCTTTTCGCCATTGTAGTAAATAAACTACAATACTCTCTTTAGTTTTTTTTTTTTTTATTATGCTTTTTAGTTTTTCATAAAATATAAAATTCGTTACTCAGGGATGTAAGAAAAGAAATTAGAAACCTTTAAAAAAAAAAACAAAAGAAATAATAATTTTTCATTTATTTGGTACAGTACCGCCGTTGAAGGGGCTAATATCACATTCCCTATTTTCTATTTTCTACTTTCTTGTCTTCATTTCCCTTTGCAAATATATAAGCCAAGAGCATTCTCTTCGTGTTTTAGTTTCGTTTCCTTTCATCGTTGCGTCGCTTCAGACGACCACCGAAAGCCCCAACATCGCACGTCCAGGTTCAGATCTCTCTCTCTCTAGCTATGAATTTCGTTTCTCTCTCTACTTTTCTAATGGAGATCTGATATATTTCTTGGTCAAATTGGGGAAAAAATCGTTAAAGATCTGTTTCCTAAGCTGCTATGATTATCCTTTTTCTCTTTCATTTGTTATTCAATTCTTTCAATTTCTTTGTGTCCCAGTTTATGGGTGTTCAGTAGGTATTTCAGCAAGACATGAAAAATTAGAGCGTAGAACAGAATTATTTGTATATAGTTGATCTTTTGGTGCCTATAGTTGAGCTAGTCGGAATTCTAATTTTTGCTATTGTGTTGCTCTCATGGGCGTGTGTTCCTTTAGATTTAAGTTATCGATAATGGAATTATGGAAGTTGTATTGCATGATGATATTCCCTTTTACTTGTTGATTGTGGTCTTAGTTGCTTGTTTTTATTATCTTACATTCTCTAATCTAAATTTTTAGGTGCTGAATAAGGCTTTGTTGTTCCCTTGTGATTGGTGCTTGCAGATTCTTATTTCTCAGTAAATCAAGATGGTAAGCTTTTTACCTTTTTGTGCTTCCTATTTTAATCTTCTTGGATATATTATGGTGTTTGGTTTAACTTTTCAGTAACTAATGTGGTTTATAGTTCTCTTTATAATATCGTATCGTTACATTAACATCTTTAGTTGAAGTTTCATTAATTTCCCAAATATATGATCATTATTTGTATCCTTCGGAGTTTGACAGTTGTTGGATCTAGTGTTGAAATTTTAAATTAACACAATTCTGGGGTGAATGAGATGTAAAAATTGGAGAATGAAAATGAGTTTAGGGTTACAGTTTCTACTTTATATGTATCTTCCATGGAACCGAAAAATCAATTTGAGCCTATCCCCATTACTAAGCTACTGATTTGATATATCTAAAATAATTTGTTTTATGCGTGGGTGCATTTGCTTTTCAACATTTGTGCTTATTTCATTAGCTACTCTTTTGTTACTTCTTAATCTCACACATCTACTTTTGCTTATAACTTTTTCCAAAATTATACAATTACATATTGAGCTTTTTTTTTTTGTTTAAAGTTCATTTTGCATTATTTTATTTATTTATTTTTCTTTGGTCTGGAGCTAATATTTGTGATTTGTGCATATACAATTTTCAAATTTTTTCTGGATGCAAGTTGGGGTTTGTGAGACGTCGAAATCCTGGGTTTTCGATATAATTTGAAGCATAGCTCTTATTTTTTTTTTCTTTTTTATGTGTGTACGCATGTGCGCGTCTCTTTGGGAGAGATGGGTTCTTAGAATCCCTTTAGCTTATATTGCAAGATATTACATTGGTAACTAAACTAAACTAATGTGCAGGTTGTTCTGGTGACGACTGAAATATCTCCACGGAAAGAAGGTTATGTGCTGATGAAGTTTATTATTCGCTAGCTTGGCACCTTAGCTAAGATGTTTCTCCATGTGAATGAAGTTAAAGTGAAATGGAAAGGAATCTGGGAAAAGGTGCTATGGATCAACAGAAAAACTACGAACAAGTTCGGTACAACAACACTGAATCAAGAAATGAGGGACTTGGGTCCACTAATTCAAGATATTTTCAGGATCCGTCAAGTAATATCAATACTAATTTGCGGCCACCAGGTTACAATATGTCTGTTGGGGCTAGACCTGGGCTGAACTACTCCATTCAAACTGGTGAGGAATTCGCTCTCGAGTTTATGCGGGAAAGGGTGAATCCAAGGCAACATTTCATTCCGAATGCTTATGTTGATCCCAATAATGCGCCTACTTATATGGACATAAAAGGCTTACTGGGAATTAGCCATACAGGTTCAGAAAGTGGGTCCGATATCTCAATGATTAATTCCGTGGAAAAGTCCCGTGCCCCAGACTTTGAAAGAAACGGATCTTTTGCTCATGAAGAGAAGGGTTACCATGATTCAGTACGATCAGTACCGAAAAGCTCGTCAAGGAATGATAGCGGTCATGGATTTCATGGTTATGCCTCTTCAGGAGCATCGCAGAGCTCATCCACGAAGGTGAAGTTCCTTTCCAGCTTCGGTGGTAAAATTTTGCCTCGTCCTAGTGACGGAAGGCTTAGATATGTTGGAGGTGAAACACGTATCATACGGATAAGTAAGGATATTTCTTGGTTGGAACTTATGCAGAAAACATTGACCATATACAGCCAGACTCATACAATAAAATATCAGCTTCCAGGTGAGGATCTTGATGCATTGGTTTCTGTTTCTAGCGATGAGGATCTACAGAACATGATGGAGGAGTGCAACATTTTTCAAGATGGGGGATCACAAAAGCCTCGGATATTCCTCTTTTCTAGTGGTGATTTGGAGGATGTTCAGCTTGGTCTAGGAAGCATGGACGGTGATTCTGAGGTCCAATATGTTGTTGCTGTAAATGGTATGGACCTAGGCTCAAGAAAGAACTCATTGGGTATGGCAAGCACCTCTGGGAACAATTTGGATGAGCTACTCAGTCTAAATGTTGACAGGGAGCGGCAGCCTTCACTTGAATTAGCTGGTGCTAGTATTGCTGCTTCAACGGTGAATGTGCCTTCATCAGCTCATCAAGCTTCTCAGACGTTGCTTCCTAGTTTAGCCAGTGCTTCTGAATTTGATACACAAGGTTATCGGGGACTTGACTTACATAAGGGAGAAGCCAGCCAGCATCTATCATCTACCCCACTGCAGTACAATTACAGTATTCACACTTCTAACTATGCAACTTCTGGAGAAAGTTTGGCTCCAATGCCCATTCATGCGCATGCAACTCAACAAGGAGTTTTGGCTAAACAGCAGCTCTACGATGGCTTCCATCTCCATGATTCTGAAGCATCCATGAAAGAGATGAAACTGAAAGGAGTTAGCTTGGCTCAAAAGACAAGTGAACCTGACAAAATTCGGTCTCTAGAAAAGGAAGTGCCATTAAAGGAGGCGGTGATGAAAAGAGGGAGCTCACTCCATAAGATAAATGAAAATGAGAAAAGTTGGACCATGGAAAATGAGCAGGTCTTTTCTTCTCATTCACCCGATGGTTCCGCTCCAAGTTATATTCACACAGAAGAACCGTCATTTGCAAATTCAGCAAGAGATGTTGGGCCACTTTCAACAGGTACAAAAAGCAATAGGAAGCTCCAGGAACCTCTACAAAATTCAGTCTTTCTTGAAGATGCAAGTGAAGTGAAAAAGAATAATGAGGATGATCAACCTTATGCATCTAGTGTACCATTTACTGCTGGATATGGTGGTTCTGAGACAGATCCTGCTGACTTCAGCTGCCTTGAACCACCTGTGGTTCCCCAACCAATCTTTAGTTCGGAGCGAATTCCCAGAGAGCAAGCCGAACTAAACCGTTTGTCAAAATCAGATGATTCTTTCGGTTCTCAGTTCTTGAAAACACAGGCCCTTTCTGAGCACTCGCAACCAATGTTAAATTCAGTTGATAAATCTCGTGATGGGAATGTTACTATGCATTTTGAACAGTCATCTTTATCTTCGAAACCACAACACAAAAATCCTCAAACATTTGAAGAAGGACTCGCACAATTGGGAAAGTACAAAGAGTTTGCCGAGAGCATTACGAGTTCAGCAATTTCTGAGGAGGTGCGTGACTCCAATTTACATAAGCCTGACTTGAGACATGTAATAGCCAAGTCTGGGGAGGATGAAATGGTCCGGGTCAAAGATAACTACAAAGATCTCTCCACCAAGGATAAGGAAGCAGCACAGTTGAGTCATCAAACAGCAAGTCAAGGAGCTGAAAAGAACAAGGAGGGCTCCGCTTTAAGGTCACCAGAATTTGAGTGGAAGGAAAATGCAACTGATAAGGACTATGCTAATCATACTAAGAGCCAGGTGCAGCCCATGGCTTGGGTGGAAAACTCTGCGACAGTTGTTACTCGTGGAGAGTCTGCTGCTGCTGTTAGCACTTCTGAACATGGCGACATTCTTATTGACATCAATGATCGTTTTCCTCGTGATTTTCTGTCAGACATATTCTTAAAAGCTAGAATCTCTCAGAACCTCTCAGGCATAAGTCCACTGCCTGGTGATGGTGTGAGCTTCAACATGGAGAATCATGAGCCAAAGAGTTGGTCATACTTCAGAAAGTTGGCCCAGGATGAATTTGAAAGAAAAGATGTGTCCCTTATGGACCAGGACCATCTAGGTTACTCTTCTTTGCTGACAAACATTGGAGAAGGAGCTGCCGTAGATTATAGTCTTCCTCCTCTGAAGTTTGATGGACGTGCTTTGGATCACATCGACTCCCATATGAACTTTGTTGAGGACATTGATCAAGAATCAAGCTACATCACTGGTCCCATCACAATGAATTTCCATTCCGATTACAATCCTTCACAACTCAAGGACAAGGAGAGTGAGCAGTTGGATATAGTTAAAACAGTTATCCTGGAATCAGATTATGGGGTATTCCATTTGTTGCCTTTCTCTTAGGTAATTAGCATCTCCACCGCTTTCTTTACCTTTGACCACCCGTTATCTTATCACCATACAGGAAGGGAAGCTGGATATTCAGAACACAGCTGTTCCTCTTGTAGATCCTACTCTTGGAAATTTTGATATTAGTACCTTGCAGGTATGATCCTTACAGTTTGCTTCTTTATACTCTAGCAATGTGAACATGGAGAAAATTGTCTCGGTATTTTGTTAACCATGATTCCTTGACTTTCACTATTGTGACCACCATTTTTACAATCACTCTCTCTTTCTCTCTCTCTCTCTCTCTCACTCACACACACACACACATTAACTGGGAGTTTAGAAGCATGAGAGGAGGATCGGGAGTTGAGTCCTCACTAACGAGCAAATAAAATGAATTTTCCTAATTTCATGAGATGAAGATCCGTAAACTCTTTAGTCAGAGGACCCTCATTAGGGAATCTCTCCAACTAAAGTATCCAAAAAATAGCTAGAACCAAGCATCAAGATAACATCTCGTCTCTTGCCTTCTTTTGAAAGCCGGGACTTCCCTACCAATAAAGACTTGTCTTGGATAAATTATCTAAGAAAACGCTAAAATTATAACCAACCAAAACCAATATTCAAAAATGATGGGACAAAATAGTATAGCTGGTCAATTTTGTCAGCACATTCTTTTCCTCCATAGGGACCAACCCATCCTATTCGTTGTCACTATAATCACATATCTCTGTCAATTGATGCCATGCTTTATCTACTTTCTTCTATTTTGTTTTTGTTTGTGCTTTTTTAATAATTATTCAAATGTGTTTCTCAACGGAAGTGTGGCCGAAAGTTTTAGAGACTTGTATCTTAACTAAGGAAATACTCATGTGACGTGAAGCGCAAGCCGCAACATTTGGTCGAGTGTGCACGAACTTTCTTTTTCAACATCTAACTATATGAAAAGTTTGTATATAACTTGATGTAGTAATTTGATATTTATTGCGTAACTCTGTACCCCGGCTTGTATAATAGATTAAATATACAATAAAATATCAAATTAAAAAAAAGGGAAAAGAAAAGGAGAAGAATGAGAATAAAACAAAAGGTCGGAACAAGCTGATAGGTTATTGAATTCCAACTCAAAAAAAGGGAAAAAAGCAAAGGAAAAGATTTTAAATTCTTATATCATACTTACTATAATGTTTTGTCTTATTTGCTGCCATCTCAATTTGTGCATGTAAGAAGTGTTTGTAAAGATATTCTTCAAATGCGTGCCATTAGGCCAGAACAAATTTCTGCATCATCTGTGCTCTGACATCTCTTTTTCCTATTCTGATTATTTTTCTGGAGTATACTCAGTGGATGTTAGTTTAAGTTTTGGAATTTCTGAATCATTCTCTTCCATCTCTGGATTTCATAGCAGATTATAAAGAATGAAGATCTTGAAGAGCTGAAGGAATTGGGTTCTGGTACTTTTGGGACTGTTTATCATGGAAAATGGAGAGGGACGGATGTTGCCATAAAACGAATAAAAAAGAGCTGTTTTACCGGACGATCATCAGAGCAAGAAAGATTGGTGAGTTTAGTGCATTATTTGCTTGGTTATTAATTTTAAATGAATGGTATTGGATCCTGAGATGCTCAAGATATTTTTGAGAAGTGGGTAGAATAGATGGCCAAGCGGAGTTCGTTTGGCGTGTTTCCTCTGTTTTATACCCTCAGATTGCCCTTGCTTGTTTTGAGGGGGGAAAAAAAGAAGAGAAAAATGGTGGTCCTTATTTCTGATAATCTTATCTGCTTGTGAACACTAGCCATGAAAGATAGCGTTTGCCTACCATTGTGAATAATTTAGCGGTGTATTACTTTGGCTTTACAGTAATTGCTTGCTGATTTTGTGAGGTTAATCTTCCCCACCCCCTCCTTTCTTTAAGTTTTATGTTTGTAATTAGTGCTTGATTTACTTCCCAGACGTTAGAGTTCTGGCGTGAAGCTGAGATTCTTTCAAAGCTCCATCATCCAAATGTGGTGGCGTTTTATGGCGTAGTCCAGGATGGACCAGGAGGAACGCTAGCTACTGTGACGGAGTTTATGGTGAATGGATCTCTAAGGCATGTTTTACTTTGCAAAGAGAGGTATTATCTTGATTAGATGAGCTTCATATCCAGTATACCTGATAAATGGATCTAGTCCTCTTAATCTTTTATTAATTTTGTGTTTGACCAGGCATCTAGATCGCCGTAAACGGCTCATCATTGCCATGGATGCAGCATTTGGAATGGAATATTTGCATTCAAAGAATATAGTACATTTTGATTTAAAATGTGATAACTTGCTTGTCAACTTGAAGGATCCTTCACGACCTATTTGCAAGGTACTTTAACTGTTTGCCTGTGTTATCTGAGTTGTCTCAATTGTTTTTAGTAAGCAGTAAATGACGCCACCTTTAAACCAACTGTTAACAGAATGCTTCACATTTCATAGGTTGGTGATTTTGGTTTGTCAAAAATCAAAAGAAATACCTTAGTCACTGGTGGTGTGAGGGGCACCCTTCCATGGATGGCACCGGAACTACTGAATGGTAGTAGTAGTAAGGTTTCTGAAAAGGTAAACTGCTATTTACTTAGTTGTACAAAGAAAGAGAATAAAATAATCATTCTGAACAATGCAGAACTTTTGCGCGGGATATTTTTATAAGAAAAACTTTATTGGTAAAAAATCAATAACAGGAGCAGAGGATAAGGTATCCTAAAAGCTACAGAACAAAAACAAAGTCTGACCATGAAAAAAGAAAGAGAAGAAAGCTACCAAATCATCTCCCTATTACATCTTTCCAACTTAAAACAATCAAAGAAAAAAACATGTCATGGTCCATCCTGAAATTTGTACGAGGGAAAATGATTCACTGAACCTATATCTAATGGATGCATTTTTAATTCATGAGATTGCGCAAAAATGTAAAATACAAAAGGGTGAAATCTAAGGATGGTAAGCTATATGGAACTCTAGAACCAAAATAAAAAAAAATTAAGCACTTTTTTGTGATAATTTTTTTTTGATCTTTTATTGTAATACATAACTAGAATCTGAATCTGCTTGATAAAACCCAAAGTTTACTAAAAAGATCGAGGTATGTGTACCGACTAAACTAGTAGGTATTTGTAGAACTAAGAAGTGCTGATATAAATCTAGTTGTGTGGTGTTAAAATACTTATTTCCTTATTTTAGAACTATGGCGATGAGAAGAATGATAGTAATGAATAAGTAAGTAAGATTGTGGTAAGGGGTGAGGTCTAAGATCTGCTAACCAAGTAGTGGAATGTTTATTTTTACTAAAATTCAATTAGCCTTGAAAGAATTGTCACTATCTTAGAGTCGAGTAAATAATTTTACTTGGAGAGAGTTACTCAGAGTTGTAATCTCAGATATCTTTTGGTCTGGTGTTGACAACCATCTTGCCATTCTTTTTCCCCTTGTTTTCAGGTTGACGTGTTCTCCTTCGGTATTGTCCTATGGGAGATTCTTACTGGAGAGGAGCCTTATGCCAATATGCACTACGGAGCAATTATAGGTATGTTTTATACAAGTTACTTGATTCATTTATTTATTTATTTTTTCCCAGTATCTCGTAGCGATTTACATTTTTCTTTGGAAATACTCTTGGCAATTTTACCTTGCACGTAGAAAACACTCATCCAAGAAATCAGAACTTTTAATGAAGTTGAGTCGGATCTCCTTGACTTCATGGCCATAAATTTATTTTTGGTTGAATTATTTATATATTTGGTTATCTGTTAGCTGAGTTATGAAGAAACTTGTGTTCTGTGTTATGAATGTCAAAAGTTACAAATTCAGGTGGTATTATTATCTTATAGAATTATTTTGGATAACAAGTCTTTTGGAAAACAAACAAAACTTATGTATGAGAATAGAGTTCAAAAGGAAAAAAAAAAAAGAAAAGGATTAACAGACTTCAAAAAGAAGAGGAAAAACTAGTCTTAACATGACAAAACAAAACCTGCAGAAAGCTCGGGAAACCCTTTGAGAAACTAAAGCCAACACTCAACACAGCATACTTCCAGCTCAAGTGAAAGAGGAGTATTTGTGAACTCCTTAGACGTCGAAACTCAAAAAATAGCCTAGCACTTGGTTTATTCTTATAATAGAGCTCGTCTTGAAAGCACTCTTTAAAAGTCTCCTCGACTCTTTCCAACCAAAGAACCTAAAGCAAGACGAGAACTAAACTTCTCCATCCGGTCCAAGCTTATTACCACTCAAGCCAATAAATTTTCCATTCATCAAATAATATAGAGCGATGAATCATGCAACAACTATGTTCTTTGATATATGGAGGGTCCTTGAATTAGACCCATCATGTGGTAGATTACTCCCGTAGATCTTATGTGTCTTCATTAGAACCAGATCAAAAGTGAATTTGTAGAAAAAGAAATGTTCTCTGTACTTTACATGGCGATTCCTAATTTGCAGGAGGGATTGTCAACAACACATTGAGGCCACCCGTGCCAAGCTATTGTGATGCTGAATGGCGATTGCTAATGGAGCAATGCTGGGCACCTGATCCAATCGTACGCCCGTCTTTCACGGAGATTACAAGACGCCTGCGCATTATGTCTGCAGCTTGCCAAAGCAAACCACAGACTCATCAGCTGCAGAGTCAACTACCCAAGTAAGAACTGTCGAAATCCCATTGTGCCATTTTAGCTGTCATATTAAGTTATAATTCCAAGAGTTTAGTTTTGTTAAGGTGTGTATCATATGAGTAGGGATAAAGGGGACTCGGTGAGATTATGTTTTATAAGTTGGTTGTACATTATTATTGAAAAGCATGCTGGTATTTTGTGGAAATATTCTGAAATTGGTTAATGTGTAAAGCTATTATTTGTGTTAATAGTAAATACAAACTTTGCTTTGCCTACGGCTCTTTTTTATCAATGACATGTAAATTTGTCATGTACATTTTGTTGCTATGGTGCCGAGTCCCAGGTAAATAGTTGGTGATGTAGAGCGATAAAAAGTTGTGGATTATCTGCTACTGGAAAGAAAATAAAAGTACAAATAGTGACAAAAAGTGAAGGAAATACCACCAAAAAGGAAAGTGTTTTAATTTTCAGCTGTTGAAGCAGACTGGTTTTTCAGTCTTTCGCTCTACAAATATTGGATGAGGAGCGGGAAAAGACAAACATCTCACACGTTCTTTTTTTTAATTATTTTTTAGCTTAAGATTTTTTTTTGGGGAAGCATTTTTCATACCAAATTTGATAGCAAATTAAATTGAGAAGGCTTAAAACTAAGGTTCGTTCATTTTACTGATTTGAGTTTTCAATTTCAATTTTATTATAGTTAAAAGTTATCAGAAACAATTATATCTAACTATTTTGCTACAGTTAAAAGCTCTCACATAAAGTCACATATCGATTTGAGTTTTTAGTGAACTAAACGAGGCTTAAATTGGCACATGATTCTTAGAGCCAGTACGAAGATCAGTGTTACTTGGATACTTTTTTGTCCGTCCATCTTTTAGGTTTACCTGATTGACTTACACTTGAAGTACTGATTAATATTTAATAGTCGGATAAGATTTTTTTTATTGAATAATTAATTAGATAAGTTGAAACGTCTCTGTTATGCCTTGTTTAAGATTTTTTTTTTTAATTTTTTAATTTTTTAATTTTTATTTATTTATAAATTTAAGGGGGAAACATATCGTAGAATAACAAGGCTAAATCAGCCTGAATAGCAGAAGGTTACAAGGTAACGGGACAGCCTCAACAACCCAATACATCGCAGAAGTAAAAAAGCACAGAATCAGGCAATAGATGAGCTATCTCGTTACTTTGCCGAGAAACATGATAGCATCGACCGCCAACAGCAGACGAAGACATCTGAATATCTTTGATAATAAAACAATTATCAGAAAAGATACCCGAATACAATCACCAGAAAAGACAATTATTGAACGAATTCACCAAGTCCATCGCATCCGTCTCAACAACAGTTTTTAGGCAACGCCATATGATATGTTAGGTACAATCAAAAGCATTTTCAAGTCATTGAGTGCACTATGCATTCATTATGCATAATTGCTTTTGACGCGAGAAATAATTAAGTCAAACACGAATTGTCATCTTTAGGTAAAAATGATGATTTGGGACCTTACTCATTCTTCTTCTGTTCAGTTATGCATACATCAGTTCTTCTTCATCTTTCTTTTCTTTTTCGTTTTTCTTTTTTCTTTTTTTTTAATATTCGCCCGGCAGTCTTCACTATCACGTACGTTCTCAAAATTTAATGGAAATAGAATTAAAAATATTGAGATAGGCGGTAGCTTATGACTAATTTTTGCTGAAAGATAACTTAACTAATTGTATTCAACACACAGAAATTGTTCTCGACAAAATCTACCCCTATTGTTTTGTTTTTTGGACTTCACAGCCCTTGTACATCGAACTAAAATATGGACTGATTAAAAGTATACATATATATCTATGATTCTATAATTTCTATTATTATTGTGTTAGTTTACCAATTCATCCCGGTAAATTAACATGGTATTAGAGTGGGAGGTCCTGAGTTCAAACTCCCATAATTGCATTCTTTATTCCCATTTAAAATTGTTATCATGTGTTGAGTTTTTAATATATATCGGGCTTAAATATTCACATGTTGGGCTTTTCAATTAATTTACTCACACGATTGCCCATTCTCTAGCCCACACGTGAAGGAGAGTGTTAAAGTATAAAACTATTGTTGGCCCACCTTCTAACAGCTTAAGCTTTTGGGATGAATTAGTAAACTAACATGATGGTATTAGAGCGGGAGGTCCTGAGTTCAAACTCCTGTAATTGCACTCTTTATTCCCATTTAAAATTGTCATCATGTGTTGGGTCTGTAATATATATCGGGCTTAAATATTCACGTGTTAGGCTATTTAATTAATTTACCCACATGATTGTCCATTGTCCAGCCTACACGTAAAGAGAGTGTTAAAGTATAAAATTATTATTCTATAATTTTTATTGAGGCAGACATGCATATTGTAGAGAGGCGAGAGAGGGTTTCGGTATTCATAGCATATATAAATGTAGAAAATGCGTTGGGGTTCAATAACTCATCAGCTGATTCGTATCTCAAATTCAATTTGGACTTTGATATTCTTTGTTTGCACAAAATACACGTATCTATTGGGAACAAATATGAGCCTCAGAGCACGTACAATGTTAAAAATCATAAAAAAAAAAAAAAAAAAGGAACAGCCACGGGAGAAGAGACGTACTTTGATTGTACGTTCATGTATATATAAGTGTATATATATATGTATATATGTATATATACGTTCATTTTTCTTTTTCGGAATTAAATTAATGGGAAGACGAATATATACGCATGATGAGTTAAAATTGTAATGCCCCATCTCATTTTCTGTCCAAACCAAAGAATCAATAAGAAGTGCGATTAGTCAAACCAAACCTCTCTCTCTCTCTCTCTGCATACACCATGTGAAATAAAAGAGAACGTGATTGAGAGAGATGAAATTGACGTAAAACTGCTTCCAGATTGAGGCAAGCAACAAGTTCTTATTGTTTTTTTTCTACTGCTGGCTCTGATTCCGGAATCATGCTTTTATCCACTAATGTAATATATATATATATATACATGTCATATATAAATATATATATGTCTGTAACTTCTTTTCACCTTTAATATTTCTTGCAAGCTATTATACACCGTTGATCATCATCAAATATATACACACACACGCCGTTGGGTCAGTTCACGAGTATTAGATCTCTTTAACCGAAAATTTGCTCGATTGATTACCTTCTTAAATATTGATTACTTCTAATGATTAATTGATTAACTAGGAGGTGATTGTTAAATATAAATACATTCAACTGCACTGGATCCAAAAGTATTGCATGCGATAAGAAAATTGACATCAACTGACCAGCTCTAATTTGAGAGAGAGAGAGAGAGAGAGAGAGAGAGAGAGAGAGAGAGAGAGAGATGCAAATGTAGTGGCCTTGTGGTTGTGGGGACCAAGCTGCTAAACCTTGGTTATTCCAAATTAAGGGCTTCCTAACTAAAGGGGTTATAATAGGGTTTGTTGCAGCAAGGCGCAGAAAATTATGATTACAACTGCACATCATTTGACCATTAATGTTATATTGTTAACAAATAAAAAATAAAAAAAAAGTTTTGAAAAAACAATATATTACATAAATGCATATACAGATTTTAATATATATCTGATCTGCGCATATGGATTATATTAGCTTATATGCATCAAAAATACTCTTGTCTACACACAAACACATGGTTTCAGACGAACTTATTACTGGTAAAAAAGCTTTACATCATAATGTAATTTAGGTCATTACAAGAAGGTTATATGTTGCGACTATATAGCTAAGAATTTCAATATGGTTAGTTTATACCTTAAAATTAATACGTATAAGGTGGGGATATGTGCATATATATATATATAGAAGCTCCAACATGGTTCGCTAATCTGGAGCGCATAAAGGAGAAATAATATCTATGAATGAGCTTTAATTGCCATAGAGAACACCGGAATAGTACTACAGCATATTGGTGGCTTAAAAAATTAATGAGGATTAAAAAGAATCCCGTTTGAAATTTCATTAAAATATTTTAATAATAGATTATAACCTTTTCTTATAATTTCAAAAAAAAAAAAATTAAACTACTTCATTAACAATTTCTTTACGTGATCACTATCGTGTTTTCAGTTCATAGGTATAGTTATAATATTAATTAATCATTAGAACCAAAATGTGAGAGATAGAAAATCTTATCGTCATCCTTAATTAGGATTCATTTGTACGTAGTATAATAGATCACTCCAGCTTTCAATTTTCTACCTGTACTATATATAATATGTACAAATTAGGTGCATAAATTATAGGTTAATCTTTACTCTTTACTTTTGATTGATAACCTTTTTAGTCAAATAATTACACTAACAAAAGGGTATTTATCAAGAGTAAGGAGCAAAACTCCATACTCATGCACTCTTGAAGGTAAATTCTCCATTTTTTCTATATTTATACAAGAAAGCAATTAAGTTAATTACTATATTGGAAAAAACGAGCCTCTTCTTCTTCTTCTTTTTTTTTTTAATTAATTTAGAAACCACATTGTACTTATTCTAGTGGTAAATTAACTTGTAGTTAATAATTTGCGATGCGCAGCAAATCATAATCCAACTGATCTCGTTCATGTCCAAGTAATTATAATAATTTAGCAGATATTAAGGTAAAAAAGAGAATCAAAATCAAAGCTATTGATATATTATATCACTGGCAATTAGCATATACATATTAAATTTGAGAAATAGTAGAAAATATGCCAATATGAAAAGCTTAAGAAAGTATATAGGTCAATTTTTAGTTATAGAAATTAATAGGCCATAACTTGTCAAGTTATGGTTCATAACCAGATAAGTTATGGACAAACTTGTCAAGTTATGGTTCATAGCCAAACAAGTTATGGACAAAAACGGTGAATTATGGACAATAACTTGTTAAGTTATGGTTCATAACTAGACAAGTTATGGACGAAAACAGTAATTTGGCATATTTATTAACTTATGTAAACTATTGGCCTATTAATTTTAATTCATCTCAAGTCTTGTCCTATTTCCCTCTTTCTCCCATATAATTTCCACATCAATGTTTGGTTGCTTAATGACTAAGCCATATATTAAAGTTTAAACTCCACCTTAAAGTTGAGAGAGCTCACAAGCAAATCCACAGGCCAGCCATTTCCGATAGGGGGTTAGGGTTCAGAGAATTTTCAACTTTTGGCAACATTTTCCCAATTTGGTAAAACTGATAAAGGCCACAGCTAGCTAGCTTGGCGTTTACTAGCAGAAGAGACTATGATGCGTGGTCAACAATACGACGTCACTCTCGTTCTCATTTCTTTTGTGCTTTCAAATATTAAAAAAAAAAGAAAAATATAATGATAAAGAAAACGAAGCAAAAGATTATCTGAAATGGCTATCGAATTTTTTGACTAAAACACTAACATCATCATATACTAGGTTTTTTTTTTTTTTTTTTTTAATAGATTGTCTCTTGAATTTTCTAGCATGATATATAAAATAAAAAATTAATTAAAACATAGTGGTTATATTTAGATGAGACAAATTAATGGTCTCCATATATATAATATTACTGAATCGATGGGGGTCAATATGATGAATTAGTGCAAGTTCAAAGGCATATTGGTAATATTATTACAAAAGAATGGACCATCTTTATTTCTAAGGTTAAAACGAGCTAAATATAGACCAGTCCAGCTCACAAAGGCTTTCATGCCAAAGAAGTTCTATTCTAACAAGCAAAAGAAAGAGATCAGAGACGACTGACCAGTAAACCCTTTCTTCCTTTATCTTCTCTCTAACTTCTCTCTCTTGTTTTCTGCAACATCTACAAAAATGATCTTAAAATACGCATAAATATTTATTTGCCATTGTTGGGGTTTTCAGAAACAAAAGCTTCCATACTCGTAATAACACTTTTTTTTTTCTCACATAGTTCTTCATTTAATAGGAGAAAAAGGGTGTGTGTTTGTATATTCTTATAGCATATCCTAATATGAGAAACTTTTTTCCTTTTTTTTTTTCCATAAACTATAGCCTATATATGTGTTTATTCAGTGCTCTAGTATCTTTTAGAAATTTATATTAATTCATTGTTGGATAATTCAGATAATTTACTAATTTTCTTTTGGCTAATTTCCCTAACTAGAAGATCTGTAGCTTATTATTATAAGCGCTGGTTTGAAGAAAATTATGGGACGTGGGAAGATAACCATCTCTAGGATAGAGAACAAAACCACAAGGCAAGTCACCTTCGCGAAACGCCGCGCCGGGCTCCTCAAGAAGACTCATGAGCTCTCTGTGCTTTGTGATGCCCAGATCGGCCTTATCATCTTCTCCAGTAATGGCAAAATGTATGAGTATTGCAGTGCTGAGGCATCCAGGTACATATATATATACACACACTATATATATATATATGTTGTATAATAATATTAATCATGATGGACATCATATGTGAAGTACTTTACAGATATTTTATTCATGATAACCTACATTTTTTATTATTAAAATAGACTACTATTTTTTTCTTCTAGTCTTTGTTTGATCGGTCTCCTTAAAAGAGTTTTTGCTTTTACTTGTGCTGTTTTGTGTTTGCCTTCTTCAAGATCTACAACTATTGTACTCTCTCTCTCTCTCTCTCTCTCTCTCTCTCTCTCTCTCTCTCTGTGTTATTGAATTAATGTTATTCGCTTTGTTCTTTCCATGATCAGTAGGTTTAGACACACACACACACACACATATATAGTACTGACCAAAATCCATTTTCACAATTTAAGTTCCTTGAACTGCTTTGTTGTGCTTAGATCTGTACATCTAGGGTCTAGCCATACCCACTCTGATTATATATATTTTTACCCTGAGCTATGTGTACAATATATAGATCATATCATGTATTCTAAGCCCTTATATATTTTTCCTTTTTTAAGGCATATATATTTCGTTTCTGATCTGTGAGTAATTAAACTTTGTACAATTATATATTTACACTTTTATTTGAGATAACTAAGATCAGCAAGTTTTCAACCAGCTGCATATATATCTTCTTCAATTCATGTACTTTAGTTTCAATGTCATCAATTTCTCTTCGTGAAACTGTCTTCCTGTTAGATTTTTTTTCTTCATTTTTTTTCTCCCTGAATGGTCCATTTGTGTCCAACTATTATTAGTACAATAATAGGCATTTTGGTAAGCATAATTTTTCAAGGAAAAAGGGAAAAGATGAAAAGTTGCCATAGTGCATTCAAAAGACTCTTGTTCATATACATACATACATATATATATATATATATTAATTGAGTGCATACCAGTGATATACAAACACGACACTTACACGTATATAGAGCCAAATTGGAATATTGTCAGTGAAATGAAACTAAACTACAACACGGTGATCATACGTTTCATTTTGTTATATGCACGGCCCCCATTACGACGTCGTATGATCTGCTAGCTAGCAATTTATTCTAGTTTTTTAATGGGGGAGCAAATTTTCATTTTGATGATTCAATTCCATACTCTATATTTTAGAGTACTTAATTTAGTGCATGGAAATTATATATTTCAAGATTAATGTTTCTTGACGTTTCACAGCATGGAGAATATCATAAAGAGGTATCAGCTTGCGACAGGAACCCGGATTGAGGAACACAATGAATCGGTACCATATAATTTCTATAAACCAAATTATCTAATCATATATATATATATATATATATGTTGTTATAAAGACTAAATAATGTTCGTATAATATTACACTTCTAAAATTGCTTGTTCAACTAATTATAACTCTGTAGGAACAATTGCACGGTGAACTGAGAAGAATAAAAACCGACACCCACAATCTTCAACTGAGTCTGCAACGCTACACTGGGGAGGATTTGAGCTCTGTATCAATGGAGGAACTTGATGGACTTGAGCACATGTTAGAGCATTCTGTCCACAAAGTGCGAACCCGGAAGGTATAAAAATAAAATAAATATTATATACATACATGTATAGTATATATATGTATATGCATATTTTTCTAGGATTAAGTAAAGTTTGCTATGTCATATATATCTCTTCATTCGTAAATATGTTTGGTCACTAAACTGTTATTTTTCCATTACATTTTACTTCGGTAGTACTACTACAATTGTTTGCTTCCAAATGCTTGTATATTATACAGTATATGTAACCCGTTTGTTTCACAAAACAACCTAAATATTTTGTTACAATATTTTCTTTTACAAAATATTTTTAAATTTAACTTTTTTTTCTAAAATATTTTCTAACATAAATTCACAACTCGAATCGGCAAAAACAAAGGAGACATATATATGTACACACACATTATTATATATGATAATTATAGTTATTTTATAAGTTTCTTTATTTTATAAGCTTGTTATAGTTATATTTATTTATAAGTTTCTTCATTTAACACATGATAATTATTCGATTAGTAAACTAGTTCACTTCATTGTATAATCGTACTCTTGAGATGAGGCAAAAAGAAAAAAAAAATTCTCTAGATCAGATTTGTAAAATGTGGAGTTGATTTGTGATATTTGTTTCCCAAAAGCAAAAAAAAAAAAAAAAAAAAGATAGAACTTTTAGGACATAAATTATTTATTAATGATTATCATTAAAAGAGTTTACTCTTACCTTAGAAAATGTTGTACCTGAATTTTATTTTGATACCACCAGATTGAACTCCTACAGCAGCAGATGCAGAATCTCCAGAGAACGGTAAAGTTAATTGAATTCTGAAAATCATTAATTAATGAACTCTCTCTCTCTCTCTCTCTCTCTCTCTCTCTCGGTAGTTTTTAATCATCCTTTATTTGATGATGAAACCAGGAGAAAATACTGGAGCATGAAAATGGACAAATCTATCATATGGTGAGTGTCTAATTAAATAGCTAGTTTTAGTATTTGATCTTAATTAAGGGCTTGTTCTCGGTATTTTCTTTTTTTCAACGTAAAATTTATATCATATGTTGTGTTATTTCCTTTTTTATCAGGAAAAAAAAAATAAACGAAAAACACATATGATAAATACGTGACTACAAAATATTATTATAACGAGAAAAAGAAAACATATAGATCTAGAGTTAAACATGCTTATTGAAAAATTTTCCTAATTCTCTCTATATATTAAGAAAAGACAAAAAAAAAATCAACAAATTAATATTGATCATAATCAACAATAATTAATTGAATAATTAGATAAAAGAGCATGAGGCAGCAGCTGCATTGGCCGCGGAGCATCATCATCATCAGGCGCAGATGACAATGGTGGCAAAGGCCGAAGAAGAAAACCGAAATGCGAATCACGTGAACGTGTTGAACCAGTTTCCGTTCGACGGCGAAGAGCAGCCCAGCAGTGTGCTTCAGCTTGCCACTCTTCAGGCGGCCCCCGGCAGCCACAACTTCTACCCTTGCCGTCTTCTTCCCACTCAGCCCAACCTTCAAGATTACTCTCTTAACTGATCATATATATAGACATATCTATATTTATAATGGTACGTACAAGTCAAATTTTGTTCACCTATATCTATATATGTTGATGATTTAATTAGGGAGATATGTATATATAGCTATATTACTTGTACCTTTAAAAATTAAGCTTAAAGAAACGTGCTCTAAATTCTCTTAAAAGTAACATGAAAGACATCCACATCAATAAATTAGGAACATGAATTTAGTAATCTTTTATAAGCAGCAGCTAGCTTATCATCAAGCTAATTAAACAAATTTTTAAACGTTGTTCTTGATTTATGGTATTCTGCAGGGTGACTTTATTATTAATTATAATACAAAGGCCGAGGCTACTGGATATATATATATTATATGCATTTGAAGTACTTTAGTGCAGGGCAGACACATAATTATGATTATTAAGGATATCTTTTGATGTTATATGTTTATATCCTTTACTTTGTATCCTTTTTCTTTGCTGGACTTGTTTGTCCTGGATAATTGGAGTTACTTATTTCTAGTTTTTCTACCAAATTCGGATATATATGAATTCAAGGCAATTTAGCTTGCGATAGAATATGTATATCGCAGCGTGTACTTTATAGATAAGAGTTACATTCATGAGAATCTCAAATTTAATCCCTCCATTAAAATCTTGTTAAAATTTGAACATAAAATATAAAATTAATGGTAGTTAATTTATAAAAAGGGAATGCACTTTCCCACCATTTTTTACAAATTAAGAGATATATATATATATATTAAAATTCCAATTCATTTCATAAGAAAGTTCATATATTTAAGTCCATAAAACAAACTTAATTAGAAGATTAAATGCTGTTTAGTGTTTTCAAACAGTAGCAGCTTCTACAAATTTATATTCATAATGAATAGAGCACTCAAACAAATTAGCAACAAATATATTTTTATGAACTTGTCTATAATCAAACTTTTCTCAAGAGAGACTAAACAACTTATCCATCATCAGCTACATCCACAAAAAGCATAAAACACCATTTAAAATATAAAGTAAAATTTCTTCTTGTAGATAGCTTTTTCCAAGTGAGGGAGAAAAAGTTTGTGGTCTAATTTTAAATGATACACTCTGTGTCAACAAAACTTATTTTTAAACTTTAACACAATTCTAAGACGTAAGAAACCCGTACTCGAAAAATAGAGTTTCATGTTATTTAGCATAAAAAAAAAAAAAAAAATTGACCGTGTTTGGAATTGATTCCGTTTTTATTTTCTACGTTTTTCAAGAAAGAAAAAATGAAAACGTTTCTAAAATGACGTTTGGCGTAATAAAGACAAAAAATAGAAATGAAAACGATTTTTTGGTTTAGTGTAAAATGAGAGAGAAATGAAAAACGACTTTTAGTTGTTTTTCATTTTTTATTTTCGTTTTCTCCTCTCTCGAGGAGAGAGAAAGAGAGAGATATTAATGAGTTTTTTTATACTGAAAATAATCTTTTGATAAAACTACTAAATGCATTTTTTAAAATGATTTCTGTCTGAAATTGAAAACGTTTTCATATTTATTTTCATACAAAAAATTAAATTATTTTGAAACGAGTTCCAAACGCACCATTTGTCATTCTCATATCGGGATTGAATTTCCCGACAACTAAGACTGGCCTAATCTAAGACTAAAAAACTCATGATCCAAGTTTAAGATTAAGTTTAGAAATAATTTGAAGGTCAATTCCAATCCATATTATGCGTTGATCGATTTAACTCCGAAAATATAGAGATTGTCTCGGATTGAGATATAGCAGATCAAATGAGTCAGAAACTGTTCAAAATGGTAATGTGATAATTTAAGAGACAATTAGGTCTAATAAAGTCAATAAAAGACATGAAAAAGTGTATCATGTTTCAAAAAGGTAGCATTCTATATACTATTCCTTGAGTACAGTTGATTTAATGTACGAATGACTAGTTGTAATATTGCAGAAATTTTTTTCTCTCTTCCCTCCTTAAGATTGGCGCCATTCTTAGTGCTTTACTAACCATAATTTTGTTCAATTAAGCTCATTTATAAGCTTAGCAAATCCTATAGTTAGAAAACAAATCCAATTAGCCACCAAAAGTATGTTATATACGTGGGTTTCACTTAGACACATCTGATCAAATTTCACTCTCCTTTTCCTCTCTTTTGCTGCCCCTCTTTAAGCTTATTTCCTCTTAAAAAAAAATCCTCACTTCCTTCACTCACCAAAGTTAGAAATTAAGGAGGAGGAGGAGGCTTAACTTGGAATTGGTTTACAAGGATATAAACCTTACTCCATTAATATTCCTTAGTTCTTTAAGTTTGATATTTGAGGTTAGGATTATTAAGATTTTTAATCATGTTTGAGATTACGTTGTTGATGCTATGATTAATTATGGTGTGGAAAAAATATTTGGTCACAAAGTTTTGAACGACACAAGACATGATTTGCTACCTGCTTTAGGCAAAGATCGAGTCATGGGTAGAAATTTTGTGGGGAACTTATGAAAGGCCCGTTTAATTTGTCAATTCGAATTTTTCATTCGAGTTGAGATGTGATTTTATGTGAGAGATTTTTATTGTAGTAAAAAAATAAAATGTGACTGTTTCTGAGAGCTTTTTATTGTAATAAAATTCAAATTCTAAACTCGAATCGATGAAATAAACGGAGCCGAAATTTGTAGTAACACATTACGTAGCACTAGCAGTCATGCCCAAAGAGAGTCTGGCCAGGATAGATACAAAATGATAGGCAACGCCAAAGGTCATACTATGATGAGGTAAGTTAGCCGAGTCAAATGTCAGAAACCGATTGCTTTGCGGGAGGAGATGCAGTTGAAACCAAATGAATTTGCCAGTTGAATTGAGTTGAGAGGCGTTTTGGATTGGTAATGGATTAAAAATAAATCTTAATTAAAGGTTTTGGATTAGTCTGCGCGTGTTGAACATTCACTCTATAAAATTCACAAATTCAAACTATTAAGTGACGTTGATGAACAATGAAAACTTTTACTAACTTAGTTTTGAGTTGTATTGAAGGTATGTTTTCATAACGAATTAAGAGCCCACGACCTTTCACGGATCGTCATACTTATCTTAACTTTCAAATATTTACCTCTTAAAGAATGCGAAAAATAGTTAAACTTGAAATATTATAACTTTAAAAGTTTTGAACTTCCTCAAAGAAAAAAAAAAACATGTCGGTTCAACTTAATTATTAAAATCTATACCGTGAAATAAACTTAAGTTCAAAATATTCTTCAAATCAAAACTACCATAAACCAAAGTTCCAAAACAATAAAAATAAAAAACTAAAAACTTTGTTTAACATTAAGCACTTTCATCCTATAATCGTTTCTCCTGTTTTCCTATCACGCATAGCTCGCATCCACTCCAATATTCTCCATGGCTACATCTTACCATTTAGATTGTCTACAACATGAAATAACTTATATAAACAAGGGCTTAGTAAGACACTTAATTCTCACAAATGTAAATGAACATTTTTATTCATCAACAATAAACGTCGTCATGAGAATAATTATTTTTGAACATATTTTAACTTTAAAATCCATCATATATTGGGTCTGACATTGTACCATCATAGCGCGCTAGCCACGGAAAGGATGGGGTAGCAAATCCCATACCAACTGTGACAATAAGACCGCTCACTGGTCACCATCAAGGGTGTACAACGCCATTTAAAAACATAAAAATACATATATACATTTTTTTTCAAAACGTCATCATATGAAATATTAAAGGTGTCATAACATCATCATAAACATCAAAATCATATACTTCTCAATTCTTCAATTCATGTTGCAGGTGAGAGTGTACTTACATGAGCGCCTTACTTAACCTTTTAAAATTTAACGACGGTGACGCGACGAATGAGGTCCTCGGGTGCTCGCCTCTAGAACCGTTCATGCCATAAATTATAAAATGAGATTACTAAAAAGTCTTAACAACTCATCAAATATATTGATCACGTCAAAACAACGTCTAATATACCATTCTCATAAAAATCCCAGTAATTATACAAATTTTCTAAATCTTACAAAAACTGACAGGCTGACCTTTATCTCTTTAAAAATTCATAACAAATCATAAAAAAATCAAAACGACCTTAAACTGGTGCCAAATAAAAATAGACATCAAGATCTTTCCAACGCCATCTTATTTGTTAAGCTAAAAAATTCCAGCATAGTAAACTACGAAAATACCAAAATAAATTCATTAAAGATAAAATCAATTCCAACCATATTCATACTTTAACCAGCCCTAAGACATGTTCCTAAAACATTCAGTTCACACATTCTATAAAAATTCTCATGGCAAAGCAAATTAGAAACATTAACATGACTATTAAAATTCACATATCTTACAACTCGAATTTAAAAACAATATGCTAACTCATGTTTCTATCAAATCACAATTTATAACATAAAAAGAAATAGCAATATAAGAAAATAACATAATTCCTAACATGTCTCTCTAGAATTTATCAAATTATGAAGACACCAAAACACCCAAAATAATAACCATGTCATATATGATTATCCCAAAATAAAACATACGACCATTAACATTAAAACCTCACCTAAATCACATATATCATCCCTCAATCGTCAACCAAAGAAAATTATTCATTATCTCCTTAAACCAACACCCAATACCAAAGAAAATCACCTAATAGAATACCAAATTAGAGATGGAACATACCTTGAAATCTTCTTGATTGTGGCTTAGAAGAACCAAAGGTTTACAAAAAGTGATTAAAATGATGGAGGTTTGATGGCTGGTCTTGGAGGCTCTCTGTGGTGTTTTGAACGTGAGAGAGAGAGAGAGAGAGAGAGAGAGAGAGAGAGCGAGAGAGAGAGAGAGAGAGAGAGAGAGAGAGAGCGAGAGAGAGAGAGAGAGAGAGAGAGAGAGAGAGCGAGAGAGAGAGAGAGAGAGAGAGAGAGAGAGAGCGAGAGAGAGAGAGAGAGAGAGAGAGAGAGAGAGAGAGAGAGAGAGTATGAGTGAAAATATATATTGACTCACAAATCATGTAAAATTAAAAAATGATTAATTTGACATTAATTTGGGGATTAATTCTTTGATTAAATGACCCTTAACAAAGAGAGAGATAGAGAGAGAGAGAGAGTATGAGTGAAAATATATATTGACTGACAAATCATGTAAAATTAAAAAATGATTAATTTGTCATTAATTTGGGGATTAATTCTTTGATTAAATGACCCTTAACAGTTGGGGGAATGGCTGTCATCTAGAATTTCCGTTCATGTTCGCGTGCAGTAACTTGTTCGGAGATTGCTAGATATCCGGATAGTATACTGGCTACATCTTTTTACTCCGATGTCCAATTTGAACAACTGAGTAGACGTTGGAAAGCTTATGAAAGGCTCTACAACTTTGTATAAACTAATGGAATAATTTCAGAATTTTAAAAGTCTAAAATAGAGCTGGAAATTAACGTCATGGAAATGATTCTTTTGTCTAAAAAAAAAATTAAGGAAAAACTTAGAATTTTCTTAAGACACTTAATTCCATGCATTATAACATGAAGTACATCATATCATGAACATATATACATTTATCAAATCATAAAAAGAAAATGAACACATATATAATTTCTATAAAATGATATGAACTTGTTCTTAGCACCTCGAGTCCTCGTCGCATTCACCTGTAAAATATAACTCAATATGATGTTAGAATTAATTAATTATAATACCATAACTTTATTCAAGTTAATTCTTAATGTTTATTTCTAGGAATTTTGTCAGTTAGAAAAATGAGTGTTACAACCCGTTTGTTTCATATATTCAAATTTAAAATCATTGATTCTGCTATAATATTTTCCTCTCATAAAAAATTTAAAGTTAAAACATTAGAATCAAAATTATAGTTTGAGTATATATTCCAAACCGGCCCTAAATTTGCTTTTGTTTAACTATTTTATGTTATGATATTTATTTTAATTGTAAAAATTAAAAAAAGAAAAAAACGGCTCTTCAAAAGTCTAATATAATTCGATAGTTTTAGATTAGATTAGATGTTGAGAGAACTTCTTCATTATTAGTGGATTGAGATTTCTCCAAATCCATATTTTTATATTAGATTGTAAAGTTTTAAAATAATTGGTAGAATTGATCCTCCCTTATTTACATGATGGCACATGCTATAACACACACATATATATATATATATATATATATATATATATATATTTCACATGACATGATGGCACATGCTATAACATATATATGTATATATATGTGTGTATATATATATATATTTTACATCATGTGAAAAAGAAGAGTCTTTTCATCATTTTAGTAAATAAAATACGTTACCCTTTTTTTTGAATTTTTTAAAGTACGTTAATTTACAATTAAATTAAATTTTTATTTATTAAATTTATATAAAATTACGTAAAAATTATTAAATATATAAATTTAACCGTTAAAAACCCTTTTGCTTTTGACAAAATATAAAATTCATTATCAGGGATGTAAGAAAACAAAATAGAAATGCAATAATAATTTTCATTTATTTGGTACATAATACCGCCATTGAAGGAACTAAAAAATCACATCCCCAATTTTCTGTTTTCTTCATTTCCCTTGGCAAATATATAAGTCAAGAGCACTCTTCTCCAAATTTCTTTCTTCGTGTTTTCGTTTCGTCTCGTTCACCGTTACCTCACTTCAGTCGACCTCCGAAAGCGCCAACGTCGCACCTCCAGGTTCAGATCTCTCTCTCTCTCTCTCCCCTCTCTCTCTCATGAATTTCGTTTTTCTCTCTCTGCTTTCTTAATGGAGATCTGATCCATTTCTTGGTCAAATTGGGGGAAAAAATCGTTAGGGATCTGTTTCCAAAGCTAATTTAGTTCTTTTTCTCTTTCATTTGTTATTCAATTATTTCAATTTCGCTGGATCTGGACGCTAAATTCGTTCTTATTCTTTCCTCATTTTCTTATCAAATCAATATAGCTGCCTTCAGTTTGATTCTTAATCTCGTTAGTTCACAGTTTGTAATCGTAATTTTACGGTATTGGGGATTGGAGTGAGATTTTTCTTTCCTTTTGGGTGTCGGGAGTTTTAGAGAAGAATTTGGGCGTGTTCAATTTGCATTTGTGTTGTTGATCTCTAGAATGAATGAATAAATAACTGAGGAGGCAACGGAGATGTAATTAGTTAAGTAAGGAGATAATGGATTTCAAAATTATACAATTCAGCTTCAGTTTTGCAATGTGTAGGTGGGAATGTCTTTGATCTAGTAGATCTGTTAGTTTCATTTTGTTTATCGTGGACGTTTCAGTTTTCCCTTGTGAGATTCTGAAAGTTTGATTTATTTTTAAGGTTGTCTTCTATTGGATCTACGATATCTGAAAGTTTGTCTTAGGCCCAGTTCATTTTACCGATTCGAGTTTTGCTGCAGTAAAAAGCTCTCATAAACAGTCACATCTAACTTTTTTTACTACAGTAAAAAACTCACATAAAATCACATCTCAACTTAAATTAAAAACTCGAATTAGCGAACTAAATGGACCCTTAGTTTATGGGGAAGACGATGTTTCAAAGATTTGTAAGGTCGTCTTTTATAGGATTGGATCTAGTTTTTGAATTTCACCTCGACCTGATTCTGGGCAGACCAGCTTTTCTCTCTAGATTTTGTGTTCAAGTTTATGTGTGTTCTGTGGGTACTTCAGAAAGACATGACAAATTAGCGAATAGAACTGAATTATTCGTATATAGTTGATCTTTTGGTGCCTATAGTTGAGCTACTGGGAATTCAAATTTTTGCTATTCTGTTTCTCACGTGGGCGAGTTTCTTCTAGAGATATAAGTTATCGATAATGGAATAACGGGAAGTTTTATTGCATGATGATATTCTCTTATACTTGTTAATTGCGGTCTTAGTTGCTTGTCTATTATCTTACGTTCCCCAAATCTAAATTTTTAGGTGCTGGACAAGACTTTGTTCCGTTGTGATCGGTGCTCGTGGATTCTTATTTCTCAGTAAATCAAGATGGTAAGCTTTTTACCCTTTTGAGCTTCCTACTTTAATCTTCTATGTTTCATCACAGATGGTGTTTGGTTCTAACTTTTCAGTTACTAATGTGGTTATATATTCCTCTGTATAATTTATCGTTGTTTCAGCATCTTTAGCTGCATTTGTTGTAGTTTTCAATTTTGAAAAGGGGTTAAAATGTGTGCATACCAAGTACATGCGGTTTCATACCACCCTTTCAATCAAAGATATAAAAGGGCATGAGTACCTAATGCTGCTATTCATCTTTTGATTCCTTCACAATCTTGTTGCTATTTCTTATTATTGCAATGTTGCTTCTCATTTATCTTTCATTTGTGATCTAGGTTGTTCTTGCTGCTTCCATTGTAAGCAAGTCTGGGAAAGGTGAGTAATTTGTATGTTTCTAGCCTTTCTTTTAGTCAATTCAGATAAAAATTCCTGCTTCTCTTATGTTGGAGTTCTCTAGTGTGAGGAAAACGTGAGACAACTATTATGGGAAGGAAAGAGATTGCTCATTTTGTGTAAAGTATAATGGTAGGAACTCTCAGTTTATCACCTGTATTAAACCCACTCTCAGTTTATCACCTGTATTAAACCCATAGCGTTTATTTAAAGGATATGTCTGAAATACTCAGGAATGGCTTTGAAGCTAAAGTGTAATATCAGAAGGAATGGAATTTAAATGACAAACTGCATCTTGGAAGTGTGAATCTCCATGAACAATATGTGGGTTGAAAGTTCCAATAACATTGAGTTTAAAGTTTAAACACCACACTTAACAAAGAATGTTTTCTGGAATCGCTTGAAAATATTTGTTAAAGTTGGTAATATACTATATAGATATGGGACTGGGAATGAAGCTTAAGGACAGTGGTATATGTTGTATCTATTGGCATTCTGCATACCTTGTTTATTTTTTTTAGAGCATTAATTTTTAACAAATCTTCAATGCATCTGGTTTTATTTTGTTTATCTTTTTCTGTGTTGTTTCAAATATAAATGGAATATTTATATTTTCATTCCTTGTATTTTGGGTTTATTTAAAAATTATACCTTCGGTTTTTGATCTCAAATGTATACCTTCTAATTAGATTTAATATACAAATACCCTACCTCGGTCAACAATTTATTTTGACCTTCAAAATGACAAACTATCCTTAAGAAAAAGAGAAAAAGAGAAAACTAAAACTTTCTAATATTACAAAAAATAAATAAAAACACAAAAAAAAAAAACCTATTTCAAGGGTATATTGCATGTTTTTTATGTCAAAACTGTAAGTTTTATTTTTTTTTTAATTTTTTTTTTCATTTACCGTTTTTTATTCAAGGGTATTTTAAGTACTTTTAAGGTTAAAATCGAAAGTTGACCATGGAAAGGTACTGATTTGTGTATTAAATCTAATTTAAAGGTATATAATTGAATATTGATGAGATAAAAAACTAAAAGTATAGTTTTTGAATAAATCCAAAACACAGGGTATAAAATGGTAAATATCCCAATATGAATTATTCCTTTGGTTTTTAAGCAAATAAGATTACTAACATAATCATGATTCTCAATCTGTTATTCATTACATAGATATACGATTTACTTTTCATTTTAAGTGACAAAGTTTTGATCTGTTGCATTTTTTGTGGGTGCTTTGAACTCTCAATTAATGGTTTCTATTTCTTGCTTTGGCAGTGCTTGTATCTAGGCAGTTTGTGGATATGTCTCGTATAAGAATAGAAGGTCTGCTTGCTGCTTTTCCAAAGTTGGTAGGCACTGGAAAACAACATACATATGTTGAGACAGAAAACGTTCGCTATGTTTACCAGCCTATTGAAGCTTTGTACTTGCTACTTGTAACAAACAAACAAAGCAACATTCTGGAAGATCTGGAGACACTGCGGCTGCTCTCTAAGCTTGTATCCTTTTGTTCTATGGTTGTTTATCTCATCCGAAGCAAAACATTTCTTTCTTGAGATGTTTTTACCATGGTTCTCGATCCCGACCTTTTATGCTTCATGCTCTAATGCCTTGTTCTTCCATAAGTCTTTCATGAATTTACTTTGCATTTTTCATTGGGTTTCTGGATAAATTCTTTCAGCCTATGACAATTCTTTTTACCACCATGGTTCTCTCTAGAAAGGGCTAGGAAGCTGCATTTGTGCGCAAGGTCATGGAGGCTGTATGCACTTGTGCTCCAGTCCCCACTTCTACAAATTGTGAACTTATTATAAGATGGGCACTATCCTAGTTCACTTCTGTGGATCTAATAATTAGAGTCTTAGTATTATCAGATGTTCAAGTACATGGAAACGTCAAAAAACCTATACTTGCAACTGCAGTTTTCCTGAAGAGAAAAACTGCCACTTCTATTTAGGATGATGGTCCATGGAATTCTCCAACTAAGTCTTCTACTTCATGTAAACAGATTTTCTTTTGCTCTTTCTTTCTTTCTTTTTCTTTATTTCTTTTAAATTTTAAGTTCTTTTTTCTTCTTCAATATCTTTTACTGTATAACATTTTGCAATTTGGATTATTAAGGTTTTCAATGGCTTCTAAGATCTGTTGGGTAAAGGCGTTTTTCATTTGCATTAGTTTTAGGTCAACAGTTTATTCCTTAATCAATTATAGGTACCAGAGTATTCTATGTCCCTAGATGAAGAGGGCATATGCAGGACTGCTTTCGAGCTGATTTTTGCTTTTGATGAAGTCATATCTCTTGGGCACAAGGAAAATGTTACTGTTGCTCAGGTTAAGCAGTACTGTGAGATGGAGAGTCATGAAGAGAAGCTGCATAAGTTGGTAATGCAGAGCAAGATCAATGAGACCAAGGACGTCATGAAACGTAAAGCTAGTGAGATTGACAAAAGCAAGGTACTTTATGAGGGGTCCTGTATGTGCTCATGCACAGATTCTGTGCCTATGACAATTCCCATCATCAAGTCTTCCAATTTAAAATTCAGCCACTTCTTATATTTTGCAGATTGAAAAGGGTAGAGGTGACAAGGGAGGATTTATGTCTTTACAGTCGATGGGCTCAGGAAGAATTGAGAGTAGCTTTAGTGATATGAGCATTTCTAGTAGTGGAAGTGGTTTTGGCAGTGGTTCTGGTTTTGGATTGAGCACTGATGTTGACTCATTTTCTACCAAGTCTAAAGGTCCGTTCATGCTTGGTGCTATGGATGTTAGGCAATGCTTATGATATTTATCATTTTTGGATGAATGTCATTTTTGGTGCGGGTTACATTTTCGAAGTTATTGTTTTCTCCCCCATTCTTTTCAATATTCCCTTGCAAATAATGCATTTCTATTTGCTTCAATTCTTTAGACTCGCCAGTAGTCTCCTTAAGATTTGATTTTGCTTTTGTACTTTTCTTTTTTTCAATGAAGTTTTATTTTTACCCAAAAAAAAGTGCTTGGTTTTTTAAGCTGCGTTATGTTTCCCTTTTAATGAATATAGATGTGTCCTATCTGTTTCTAATACAGCAATACCAGTTATTTATTTGGACAATTACATATTGCACTAAAAGAACTCTTTTAACCATTCATGTTAATATCCTCAGGTCGTCCACCTTCAGCAGCCAATGCTCCTCCTAAAGGTCTTGGTATGCAGTTAGGGAAATCACAAAGGACAAACCAGTTCTTGGAGTCTTTGAAAGCGGAAGGTGAAGTTATCCTTGAAGATGTGCAGCCAAAAGCTGGCCAATCTAGATCAGCTGCCCCACCTCTAACTGATCCTATTACTTTGACTGTCGAGGAGAAACTCAACGTAACACTTAAACGTGATGGTGGAGTCAGCAACTTTGATGTGCAGGGAACTTTGTCTCTGCAAATTCTTAATGCAGAAGATGGACATATCCAAGTTCAGGTACTGCGTTTTGGTTTATGGTTACCCCCCCCAATCAAAAGTGGCTGCATGCGGTCTTTGCCATAAGAGACTTATAGAGTTGTCATTGCAAGAGTTCTGCTTTAGTTTTTCTCATTATGATTGTTTTATTTTCTTCCTTTTCTTTAGATTGAAACTGGTGGGAATCCTGGCATCCTTTTCAAGACACACCCTAACATGAACAAAGAATTATTTTCAAATGAAAATATTCTTGGCCTGAAGGATCCCAATAGGCCTTTTCCTGCTGGTACTGGTGATGCGGGAGGTGTTGGTCTTTTGAAGTGGAGAATGCAGAGCACAGACGAATCAATAGTGCCTTTAACAAGTGGGTTTCAAGTCTTTTTTCTTTCTTTTTTATTTTTTTGGGTTTACAGTTTTAATGAATGCTTAGGTCATTTACATGTCTATTCTTCTTGCAGTCAACTGCTGGCCCTCTGTTTCTGGTAATGAAACTTATGTCAGCATCGAATATGAAGCTTCATCAATGTTTGATCTGCGGAATGTTGTGATCTCAGTACCACTTCCAGCTCTCCGCGAGGCTCCAAGTGTGAGACAAGTTGATGGTGAATGGAGGTGAGACATTGAATCCCTTAAATTTTATTTATAGCTTGTACTTTGAGTGGTCAGCAGTAGATGAGACAGGTCACTGTAGGTAGAGGGCTTGAATTAGGAAAGAAGAGCAAAAAAGCTAGTCCATGAACGTAGAGACAGTGCCAGCAAGTGGTCAAAAATACTGTCAATAGAGTGCCTTGATTGGTTCCTAAGCCATTTGATGGTGGAAAGTGGGTTTTCGGGTTCTTTTTTCTTAGGTTTCTCCCCACTTTTGTAGACTTAGAATTGTTCCTCTAGCACAAAGAATAGTTGCAACGAACCCAATGAAAGCAAACAGAGTCCTATCGTAGAAAGTAGTTAATTAATAAGATATTTGAAAATTTTCATCTTTAGGTTCTATGATTCATTCCCACTTTGTAATGTTTATTCTAATGTTGATCTTTGAACAGTTTTAATGATCTCAGAATCTACAATTGTGGAATTGTAAAGTGTTGCATGTAAACGCGAGATTTTAACATAGGTGTTGGACCCTCACATATGTTTAGCTACATATGGTCGGATTCATGAATATAGGCATGTTATTGATCCGTACACTAAAGAATCCTGATTTTTGGAATATACTTTGCAGCTTGTTGGGGATTTCCTGTCCTTATTTCCAACTTATGATTATTGTGACAGTATGATCTTTTATCTTTATTTGTAAATGGATTGTTTTGTTAAAATGATAAATATGTTATTGTTTGGAGTGTGCAGAAGAGAGAAATGGAATATAAACCTGGCATATTAGCCGATTGTTTGTATTAAGGATTAAGATTTCGGGGGACCAAATGTTCTGTTTGGATATTATATTATATTTCTGTTTTGATAAGTCACCTTCTAGATTTGGCATATTACTTAATTTACTCATTCTTGTGATGATACGTGAATTAGTTCTATGCCATCGTTACTCTGTTTTATCTGATATCATTGTATTTCTTGAGTTCAACCTTCAATGCACTTTCACTTTTGATGATTTGCAGGTATGACTCAAGGAATTCCGTCTTGGAATGGTCCATACTTCTCATAGATAACTCTAGCCGCAGGTCCGTAATTGTTGGATTTCTTTCTGTTATATATATATATATTTTTTATTTATTTTTTAAAACATTATTGCAAAGGACTCTTACCTTTTTGTTTAAATCTTGGCAGTGGATCAATGGAGTTTGTTGTTCCTCCAGCTGATTCATCTGTGTTTTTCCCTATTTCCGTGAGCTTCTCTGCTACTAATACATTCAGTGATTTGAAGGTATGCATCTTTCTTTTGGACCTTTTCATCATGCTACTTGAATGTTTCACGTGAGCCTCTAATCTACTTGCCACGTGATTGTGTTCCATACTGATGTGAATGTTGCAAGTCATAAGGTTGGATCTGATTCTGTTATGTAGGCAATTTTTAATACGAGCAAGGGCAAACTTTGTCCTGCATCTATAAAACATAAATCTGGTGCTGAGTAAGAATTAGCTGTGGTTTCATAATTATCATATGAATCTTCATCATTTTCGTATTTGTGTAAGCACAAAAAAAAAAAAAAAAAATCCTTGAATATTGTTGACATTGGTCGATTATTGACTTTATGATTCATACATGTTGAATATTATTTTTGGGGAGCTGGGCAGAAGGATATATTTGGGCATCTGATAAATTAGAGTTTAACTAATGCGTTTATTTTCCCTTCCCGTTTGGCATAGCTATGTTATATGTATATTTGTTTATATGAAGTATGGTTAGTTTCATGTAAATCAATTGATTTTCTCCCCTGAACATTAAGATAGCGTCTGAAAAATTGTCCCTCCAATATGCTATTGATTTTCTAAAGTTGTAACATTAATTCAGTGCAGATTCATGGCTTTATAACCTTGTTCATGTCTTAACGTTTTACAGGTTGTGAACATCTTGCCCCTGAACGGTGGAGCTCCGCCCAAGTTTTCGCAAAGAACGCAGTTGGTCACAGAGAATTATCAAGTTGTGTGAGTGGAATACCCTTTTTTGATGTCGATTAAATAGTTCGTCTAGAGTTCCTCTTTCGACCCTTTTATAACTCGGTTTAAGGTCTATGATGACAATTATTTTTGTTTTAGAGAGGTGAACGTGAGGGATGCTTATAAGAATCCAATTATTTCGGTTTGAAAAATATGAACACGAGGGAATTGCCTGAAAGAATGAATATTTTATTTTATCGACAACTCTTTTATTTGATTTATAAATTTTGCTCTTATTCTTTGATTTCTTAGTCTTCAGTTCATCTGAAGTTCTGTGGCCGTGTTCTCGATCCTTCTTAATTGGTTACCACTTCATGCTTTTTCTCCATTTATGGATTATTATCCAAAATTCATCTGTTGGCAGTAACTAGTACAGTGCTATTTCTCAGCAAAAACTATTGTGGTGCTATCGCTATAAAAGTAACTAAATTGGGTATACAAGTCCAGTGTCAAAAACATTATTTTATTGGCGCTGTTATTGAGCGGTGCACTCAGGATGATGGATGGTGATCAACTGACCCTACACACACAAGCAAAAACAATCAACTGACCTCACACACACAGGCAAAAACGCACTCAGGAACCCACCACACACACAAGCAAAAACAATAAGCTGACCCCACACACACACACAAGCAAAAACAATAAGAAGCACTCAGGATGATAGATGGTGATCAACTGACCCCACACACACACGCAAAAACAACAAGAAGCACTCAGGATGATGAATGGTGATCAACTAACCCCACAACACACGCAAAAACAACAAGAAGCATTCAGGATGATGGATGGTGATCAACTGACCCCACAACACACGCAAAAACAACAAGAAGCACTCAGGATGATGGATGGTGATCAACTGACCCACTTGGTTACATTATCATTTCCTTGAAAGATCGATTAACTGACCCCACACACACACAAGCAAAAACAATGAGAAGCACTCAGGATGATGGGCGCAAAAACAACAAACACTCAGGATGATGGATGGTGATCAATTGACCCCACACACACACGCAAAAATAACCAGAAGCACTCAGGATGATGGATGGTGATCAACTGACCCACCCGGTTACATTATCATTTCCTTGAAAGATCGATCAACTGACCCCCCACACACACACAAGCAAAAACAACAAGAAGCACTCAGGATGATGGATGGTGATCAACTGACCCACCCGGTTACATTATCATTTCCTTGAAAGATCGATCAACTGACCCCCCACACACACACAAGCAAAAACAACAAGAAGCACTCAAGATGATGGGCGCAAAAATAACAAGAAGCACTCAGGATGATGGATGGTGATCAACTTACCTACCCGGTTACATTATCATTTCCTTGAAAGATCGATCAACTGACCCCACACACACACAAGCAAAAACAACAAGAAGCACTCAGGATGATGGATGGTGATCAACTAACCCACCCGGTTACATTATCAGTTCCTTGAAAGGTCGATCGTCACTACACTCCGTTATTCGTCATATGTAATGGAGGATCTCCAACTCAATAGTACCAAAGCCAGCACCACGATCCTGATTTTGAACTTCAGGATTAAGATATTGACCGTACTTACTGCTTTAAGTATTATAAGTTATAACGATGCATCGATTCTCACCCACACATTATTTACAGTTATAATCTTCTATTGTTAAATAGGTTTAATATCAAGCATTCATACCAAATTTACAAACAGGGGTTAACTTTTAATCTTGGCAATTCATCTCCTAAACTTTAAAATTTATAGCAATGATTGTCAAATCGAAAATGAAGAAAAAATTTAGTGATTTCTTCCACATGAATAGTTTAAACTCCGTTTGGTAAGAGGGAAAGAAGAGAAATTTTTAGAGGTGATATAATTATAATTTAGTTGAGGAGTTGCACATAATTTTGTTAGTAGGAGCAGAATATGAAAGCTATATTTATTATCTATTACTATTGTAAAAAGGAGAGTTCCTTATTGGCGCTATTACATTTTTTGTTTGAAAATAAAATTATCACTTAGGAAAACACTAAATATTACTTTAAAAATAACTCTAAAAAAATAAAAATTACACTTGAATTAACGCAATAATTATAAAATGTCACTTTATTTTCATTATTAACTCCACATGCGAAGCACATTGCTTCACTAGTAATATATATAAATGTATTAATAATTGTTATTTTCTATTCGAATGGTAATTACTTTTCTAAAAAAGATATAACTTACAAGAAAGAGGCTTTGTTCTAGGTGCACCCCACAATTTATCACATAAGAAAAATGAAAAATAAAAAGAAAAAAATTAATTGTGCTGGGGCAACATAACAGACATGAATGAGACACTTTAATGGTGATCATCTTAGCTTTTCATGGGTAAGACTTGAGAGGAATGGGATCAACAAGTAATGACATGACAAGCTCCTTTGTTTCACGATCTTGAATAGCATATCCATCTCCATGTAGGTACATGCTTTGTGCCATCCTAACAACGTTCGTCGCAATTTCAGTGAATGTTTTTGAGAAGGAGGAGTCTGCAACTCTATCTTCATTTATTTTCTTCCACGTTTCACGAATCAGTAACTTTATATGTTGACGAGCCTTCTCCTCTGAAACACCAGCTTCGTGCATGTAGCATTGAATTGATTTAGGAACGTCACCCCTTTTAATTTCATCCTAAATTAGAAGAAAATAATAACTAATAAATATAGTTTCCAATGATTAATACTATGAAAACAATGGATTGAGAGAACACAATATTTTATCTTTTAAATAAATATAATTTCCCATGAGCTAGTTATTTTTAATACCAACGATGTTTCAAGATCATTTAGAAATCGACAAAGGATTCCTGATTGACGGATTATACTCGGATACTCTTCCAAGCAAGTCAATGCCTCTTTTGTTGTAGGATTTGCAGCAAAAACGTAGACATTCACCAGTATTACTGGTACCGAGAATGAAATCCATGCATTATCAATGTACTCTTGGAATGTTGGTGTGTATCCACTGTAGTACCATTTTGCTTCGACTAAATAAGATTTACAAAGATCTGCCCACTAAAAAAATATGATATATATGAGATTTAAAGTTAGCCAGAATTGTTGAATAATTAAATATTACAAGAAATAAACTTGTAGCTAGATAAGAATTAATTAAGATCGCATGATGTAAATATTTCGTTCAAAAATGAAGGAAATAACTTGATAGATGGAGCTAGAAAAAATGATTAAAAAAAATAAATTAAATTATTAGTACGTACTGCTTTCTTAAGGTATTTAATATAGTGGATGCCATGTTCCTTGAGAAACTCTAATGCCGTATCATTTACGAAATTGTGGAAGGCAAGAAAACACATCCTCATGTAATCCGGCAGTTGATCCATACCGCTTGTATCCCATCTAATATAAATAAAATTAATAAAGATCAATATGTGATGATCTTAATTCAAAAGGCAATATTATTGAAAATGATCATGACATAATTATATTAATATTAATATTACTACCAAAATTATTAATTACCTCTCAACCGCATCTGTAAAGAGCTCCAATTCATCAAGTGTACCATAAACATCATATATGTCGTCGATTAGTGTTACAAAGGCATTTACTTTGGTGCCTAATCTTCTGTAGCTACTAAATTGAGGCTCAAATGCAAATCCCAAAGTAAGTAAGAGATTCTCCATCAACCTATCTCTTGCAAACTCAAGCTTTCCTAGGCCCGTCTTTCTCCACCACCTTTAATTACACATGATATACGACAAGTTAGAATCAACCTCAATCATCGTACGTAGAAAATAAATAATGTATGTTGGATTTTTTATATATTAATTATTTTCATCTTACACAAATTGAGTGCACAAGAGAAGAAAATTTACTATTTTTGATTTATCATCTTGTTAATATATCTAACAATTACCTGTACGCATGTTTGAGATCTTCTTGGTGCGTAGATTGGACAATGTTGAAATCTAGTTTAGCAAGTTCAAGCAAAGAAGGGTTCATGTCTTGTCTCCTCTCGTACATATCGATGAACCACCTACTCTCCAACCTTGGTGTTCTCCAATGTAGTGGTAACTCCAATGCATGGCTCACTAGAAGATGAGACAAATTAATATCATCATTTTGGTGTTCCTTGGAATTCTTCGTCATCATTATGTATTCCTCTAGGCATTTGGTAGTCAAGTCTCGAGCTTCCTCCAAAATACTCTCACCTTCAACCATATGAAATGAAGCTTCATATAAAGATAGCATTGCTGCCATGGTATGATCATCAGTACTGAATTTCCCCGTCTTCTCATCCCGGAAAGCATTGAAGACTTCTGCGATGTTCAAAGTTGAATAATAATATATTTGTATATGATCATGAGGAGGAATTAGTAAGTACTATAAGGATCACTTGATGGATTAATTATTATATATAGGGAAATTAAAAAAAAAATATTTAAGTACCTTGAGGAATTTGATATCCATGTTGACGTAGGATTCTAAATTCAAGAGCTGTGGCATATAGATTCATGTTCTTCTTGGAGTACATATTATTGTAATTTGTGTATATTTCCTCCAACACACTCTGTATTTCAGCCTCAAAGTGATAAGATATTCCAAGTCTCTGCAAGATGTCTATATGCTCAAGTTGCGCTATATGATCACCTTCCAGCGTTTTAAGAATCTCTCTTTCCTCGTCCTTGAGGTTCTCGACTCGTTCAGCATATAAAGATTCCTTCTGAAATAACCAATCCAATAGTAGTAGCAAAAAAAATTAAAGAAATGATTTATGTCACCAAATGAGTATTGAGTTCCAAGTGAAATTAATAATGTCGAAGAATGTTACCGTGTATTGAGTTCCAAGTGACTGCACGTAGTCGAACTTCCAAAGAGGGGGTTGGTAGTTTGCAGATCGTCGAGCAATATTTTCACCATTAATATTGGAAACTTGTTTAGAATTATCGGCCACGCATTGAACTCGAGAAGAAGCAAGTACTCGAGTAGTACTTCTTAGTCTTTGAATTGACGAAGTTGGAAATGGAGCAGCTGGATATAATGATAAAGCTGGTGATCTGCTGATAAAACTAGTGCAAATCGAGAGTGAAGTAGAAAACTGTACTGTATGATACGCCATGGAAAAGAAATGAAGCTCTTCTCTTCTCTTCTCTTGTCTTTTTTTTGTTTTTGCTTTTTGGTTGGTTTCTAGCTCTTAGAATGGACAGTATAGTATTAAAGAACTCTTCTGTGATTTGCGAATGACAAGTTTAAGTCTCGCTTCTATATATTTATACACCTCATTTTGATGAAGCGTATACAAAACCAAAAGGAGGGTCGGTCGGTAGGTGACTCGCATAGTACCACAAATTATGCACATGTTGGTTTTTGGAAAAACAAAAGCACAAATATATTGTAAATAATTATGCACATGTTTGCTTTTAGAAAAAGAAAAGGATAATAATGACATTTATGCACATGTTTTTCGTTTCTCAATATCAGGCATTTTTTTAATACTCTTGCAACCTTTTTCCATCAGGCTTCGACGATCGAAGGTGGAGGATTACAAACTACAATTACCTGCACCAAGCTACAGTAGTCAGTCAATATAGCGCCACAGTTTTTGGACTAACAATATTATATTTTTCTAGTACAGCGTTTATGACGTGGTGTTTATATTTTGTATTTTACGATGATCATGTAGCCTAATTGAGTACGAATCCACTTTACGAAGAAAGTAATTTTAGCCTGGTTCACTTTGTAGATTTAAATTTTTAATTTTAATTAAAATATGATATTTTTTAAGAGGTTTTAATTGTACTAAAAAAAATTAAATGTGATATTTTTTTAAAATTTTTAATTATAAAAATTTAAAATTAAAAATTTAAATTAATGAGATGAACGAGAAAGTATCTTGTTTTTGAACTTAGGCAATGTCCCCAAATTAAAGTTTTATATTGGTGTGTGCATATAAAAGAGGTTTGATTTTTGATCCTCTAAATATATATACATATATACACAGTTATTAGATTTCTTACCCTACAAAAATAATTTGGGAAAAAGTAGAAAACTTAGGTGATTGTAAAGGAAAAACCGCATTTTAAAATCACCCAATAAATAAATGAGTGGTTCTATTTACACACCACTATATACTCTCCACACCTCCCACTACTACAAATTGGCCTATTTGTCGTCGCAAATAAGTGAATATTTGCAGCGACAAGTCGTCGCTACTAATTCTGTAAAACTGAAAGAATAATGTCGTTGCAAAAACGTCATACGTCGTCGTAAATAATGGTTGGCACCAGATATCGTATGACGCTAAATTTTAGCGCCAAATAGCACGTTTTGCGACGACAAGTCAACACAAATACTCCATTATTTGCGACGCAAATAGTCCCGCACAAATAAACTTTATTTTATTTTATTTTCCCAAGCAAAAAGAATAATTTTGACGGTTGGCACATTTTTTTTGCGACGAGAATAATGTATGTCGTCGCAAAAATGATTTGTATTCCCTCACTAATTAACAAGGCGGGAAAACAGGGCGGGACCCCAAATATTATTTGCGACGACATTACATATGTCGTCACAAATAAGGATTCCAAAACCTTCCTTACACAACACTTGTCGTTGCAAATAATTCATTGTCGTCACAAATAACTTTAAGTTATTTTTGCGACAATATGTCGTCGCAAATAGTCTATTTTGTTGTCGCAATAAATCCTGTTATATGCTCACAAGCAGGGCCTCCTCCTCCATTTTCTCCGATCGGTTTCTCTCTCTCTTCTCTCTCACTCGGCCTCTCACCGATTTTTTTCGGTTTTCTCATCCCAAACTCTCAAAATATCTTTGTATTCTCTTCAAAATCAACAATATTATATGTTTTATTTGTTTTTCTTCCAAAAAATCCCAAACTCTAAAATTATGCTGCCACTGCCGAAATCCACCGCCGCCGTCGAGAGCCGCCGCTGCCGCCCTTTGTCCCGGTTAATCTTGCCGTTTTCAACCCCCGTTTCAGTGGGTTTGAATTTTGTAAGTTTTTTTGGTCCAAATTATTGTATTTCTTAGTTTAAAATTTATGAGTTTTTTGTTATTTGAATGGTGCAGCAGTCGGATCCTAGTTCAAGCGTTATTGAATCCTGGGGAAACGGCCATCTTTACTCCGGTATAGGCATTCGTTCACCCAATTTTTTTTTTTTTTCCTTTTTTGTTTTTCAAAATCTCTTTTCACTCCCAGTTATTTCTTGGCATTTTTTACTGGTAGAACTCTTGGAAAATGTGGAAGGAAAAGAGCAATGCAGAGATGAAAGATGGATGATAAGGGGGTAGAGTTCTAGTAATTAATTGTTGAGGAAGCGAATCCAATAGAACTAGGAGTTGCAAATGCCATACTGATTTGCGTTTTTTTTTTTTTTTTTTGGGTCCTTACGCTTAAAAGTCAATTATAGGCCTTATGAAAAGTTTTGATTAATACATGCTCTCCTTGCTTCATTTATGGAGCCTTCTATTTCCAATTTCATGTGCAGTTTTGTTGCTGGAATTGATGCAACTTTTTATATGTAGGCGTAAGATTTTCGGCCTCACCTAATTAAATTACACATCGCTTCAAAAAAAAAAAAAAAGGAAATATGAAGTTGGGACTGCTGAAACTGTTGTCAAAGTAGAGCAATTTTGCTTTTTGGGTTCGATTACCCCAAGTTAAGCTTGATTTCTCAAGAACTTGGTTTCAAATTATTGATACATATGCGCTGTAAATTTCTCAAGAACAAAGTTAACTACGCTCAGTCCAAATGCGTTGTAAAAGATCAACATAATACGGTCCAAATTTTAATTTCTTGGTCGTGTTTATTAATTTCTTGTTTCATGGTCGTGTTTATTAATTTTGAGGTTGTTAAAATTTGATATTGAGATTGTTGAAATTTTAAGGTTATAATTTGATTTAGGTTGAGATTAAAAGTTTTAATACTTGTTCTGGGTGACACATCTTGCAGTTATGGTGTGCTGAAATCTTTTAAAAAATATTTTTTTCAGGTTTAAATTTTTGGATAATAAAAAAAATGTCATTATAATGCCAAAATTTTATTAAAATCTATTAATTTTAAAATTTAATTAATAAGAATTAGTTTACGACACAACATCTCGATGTCTAGCCCAGTAGCTACATGCGCCAGCTCTGCAGGAGGATCACAGCCTCCACCTAATCCGATGAGACTCCTAACACATTGTCAGTCAGGTATTATACGTTATAATACATGCTCTTAAAACTTGTTACTTGTCGAACTCTCTATAATCAAATTTTATTATTTTTATTTTTGTACAGTTCCGGAGCCGACATCTCGACGTCGGCATGGTCGAGGAGTAGCTATAGGTCGAGATATAGTAGAGAAAGCACACAAAGATGGGAAGCTCGATGTTACATTTGACGAGAGAGGTTCGTGGAAGGCGATTGGCGAAAACATCAAATATTTTGACAATGCTGTCGGCTTGAATACAAGATATATATGTGACCCACATTACAATGCCTGGAAGGACGTGCTGAGGAGCACAAAAGGAGGATTCAAAATGAAGATTTTGTCAGGTAAAATCCTCCTAAAAACTTGAGGAGCAAAGAGCAATGGGGACCTTGCTATGATCGTTTTACGTCCCCTACTTTTCAGGTTCAATTTAATTATATTTTCTTATTTTTTATTAATTGGTTTATTTAATTATTAAGTATGTTACTAATTCATCTATAATTATTGCTAGAAAAAATGTGCTAAAAACAACAAAATCGTGGTAGTCAGAAGTGGTCTAACTTCCATGGTAGAAAGTCATACTCTCAGCATCGTTTCGATAAGGTAATACTAATTTACATACTTGTTAAGTTTTTGTCACTTTGGCTTAATAATTATTCTACACGTTCAACTTGATTAGGCAAGTCCCGAGAGCCAAGAGCCAAGATCATTAATTGACAATTGGGGTGACATGCACCGTCATGGGGAGAATTTTATCAATCCGGATGCGGAACATGCATTTGTAAGTAAATTTTAAACTTATTTCTTTTTTCATATTTAACATAACATATTATACTATTTTTATTTTATTTACTTTTGCAGGCTCAGATGGTGGTGGAAAGAACCACGCAGATGACACTGTCTGCTGGGGAAGGTTCATCCACGGCGGTCAATGAGGAGGGGATTATATCCCAAGTCTTGGGAAAGCGCAGAGGACACACTAAGGGAGTGGGACCGACACTACCATGGAGGAATTGTTCAGGCGCTTCCACCTCATCATCTGCTTCGCAATCAAACGTGTCATCTTCAGTTAATTTGCCACAGCATGTCTAAAACTGGCTGAACAACCTTTACATCAAGCAACGCAACATGTTCGACAACCAGCAAATCATGATGGAAGTCATGCACTCCATGAATCCCAACATTAACTTCTTGCCAGCTAACCGCCCCCAACCGTTGGTTCCTCTGCCGCCTGAGCGAAACGAAGAAGACGAGGATGAGGATGACGATGCTTCTAATTTAGGAGATTAAAATATCTGTTTTTAATTTTTTTATTATCAATACATTTTAGTATTTCTTAATTAATTTACTTTTTAAGACTTATTTTATTATTATGTTGACTATTTTATATCAACTATATTATTTTATTTTATTATAAATTTTATTATAAATTTTATCTTTATTAATTAGTATTACTAAGAAAGTTATAAAAAAATACTATTTGCGATGACATTTCTAAGATGTTGTCGCAAATAGTCACATTACTAATGATGGGAGTGTCGTCGCAAATAGATTGAACTGTTACGACGACATATATCGTCGCAAATATTCCACGACATGTCATCATCAACGACATATTTGACGGAACATTCGTGACGACTTATTTGCGACGACTGTCGTCGCTACTATATTTGCAATGACAGCTCAAAAATTTGTCGTCGTAAATATATTATTTGCGGCTAATTTTTTATGGCGACTAATTTACGACAACATGTCGTCAAAAATGTATTATTTGCGACGACATTTCACCTATTGGCAATGACAATGAGTCGCCGCAAATGACCTTTTTTGTTGTAGTGTCCCTTTTAATTATAATTTCTTATTAGAAAATACTATTATAATAGTCTATGTAATTAAGTCTATTTTGAGATAATAATTTAGAGGTGTAATTAAGTCTATGTAATGAAGTCTACTAAATAGATGGGGCACAAAAGCATGTAAGAAGATGACAACTCTAAGAAATTAGAGTTATCCAATGGTTTTATAGCTCAAAATTGCGTGACCAAGAGTGATTTTTCTAATTTATTGTGTGTTTTAATTTAGATTTGTAGAGTTTACACTTACTTTGGCTGAATTCCATACTGGTGCTCCTCTTAAAGTGAAAGTTGGTGATTTTAAAGTAAAATGAGGTGAAAAATTGACTAAGGCTGTGTGCGCACTTTGCAGGAAATTTCTGGGCTAAATGCTGCGGCATTTTGGGTAGCATTCTGGGAATAGCTGGCATATGGGTGACGTCAGCGCACTAGCTGGAGAAAACATACAAAGATGAATCCGTGTGAGCTGGCCGAAGAGGTGTCATTTGGGTCCACTGTGCACATCATCAAGTGACACCTCAGCCCTTGTGTTGCCCTAGAAGGGAATGTTTTCTTAGGACAAGTTGGCAGCCGCCAGTGGAGAAAAAAGAGGAAGAGATAGAAACGGGCTGAAATATAGAAAAGAGGACAGAGACTGTTTTTCCTTATGCAACACAGACAGAGTATCTTCTCTCCAGAAAAAAAAAGAGCACTACCCAGAGAGAAAAAAAGCTTCGTACGAGAGCTGAAGAAGGCAGGAAATACAAAGAGTACTCAGCCCAGAAAAAGCATAAAAAACGTGAGAAGAGGGCTGAAGGTTGAAGGACATTTTGGCCGGCCAAAGAGGAATCCAAGATCCAGCTGAAATTTGTTCTTCTTCTGTTAGCTTAACTCTCTTTTGTTATTTTAGCTACTAATTTAGCTATGGATTATTCTGGAGCTTTGAACCTTGTAAATCTCATTATGAACTAATTTGTTTTAGCTAGGTTTGATAATGGAACCAAGATTGTAAGAATGACAAGTTGTTTATGAGATGCTATTAATTTACTATTTCTGTTCATTCATGTGAGCTAATGTCTATTTCTATTCTTGACTGGCCATTAATTTTAAGATACAAGATTAAGATTAATACTGGAAGGGTTAGTTTTAATCGGATTAGCATGAATGATGCTTGCTCAATAAACTTGCTGAGTTGTTGATTAGTGGATAGTATAGGAATATATGATTCACCTTGCATGACTTAATGAAACCTGAGCTTAAATCTGAACTCCTAGAGCTGGATTCACATAGGAATATGTCAGAAAAGGCTTGAGGAACCCTAGTCATAATTAATTCGGAAGAACTTTATGCATCAAGGAGTTTCTGTTGACAGGGATAGTAAAATGCTGCAACATTCTAGGTAACATTTTAGTCAGACTTGCAATTTAAGGGAAGTTAGCAGACCTAGCTCATTTTCACCACTAAATTACAGCCCATCATTACGTTCTTCTTACTGTTAGCCATTTAGATTGCACTTCGTTTGCATCCATTTTATTTACATCATTTTAGTGAATTTGTGCCACATTCATTCATTACTTGTTTTGTTGAATATACAACTCCCAACACGTATTTTTGGTGATTCAATCTTCGTGAGATCGACACTCTTATTCACTCTTTATTACTTGTTTGCGACATGTGCACTTGTGAGCATAAATATCACGCAACAGAAGACATTAAAACCAAGGGTAAAAAATGGCCAAACATGCAATCCCTCAAAAGCAGACAAAAACCAAAACCACCAATCAAGTGAACATAGAGGCAGCCCAGGAAAAGCAAAGAAACATGCACCAAAACCCAGATCAAACTTTAGTAAACACCAAGAAATCTAAACAAATGAGGCACAAGAGGAAGCAATAGGGAAAAACATGGAGGAAAACATTAAAATCTGGCGCAAAAAAAGGCTGAGTATGCAATCCCCCAAAAGCAGACAAAAACCCAAACTAAGACCGCGGATCAAGCAAGCGTAGAAGCAATCTAGGAAAACCGAAGACACTTGCACCAAAACCCACATGAATCAAAAGACCATCCAGCAAAACCACAGCGAAGAACCAAACCAAAATGGTCGAAGAAGGTCAAAGAAAGAAGGGATAAAATCCCAAAATCTCCTCTGAAATCAGATGACAGAGGCGAGGGCAAAAAGGCTGAACATGCAAGCCCCAAAAGCAGACAAAAATTCAAACCAAACCCACAAATCAAGGTAGCATAAAGGCAACTCAGGAATACCGAAGAGACATGCACTAAAACCCATATGAATCGAAGAACAATCTAGCAAAACCACAACAAAAAATCAAACCAACGCCACAAACAAAAATGGTTGAAGAAAGTAGAAGAAAGAAGGGATAAAATCTCAAAATTTTCTCTGAAATCATAGGAGAAAGGCAAGGAAAATTAAACATCAAAGGAAGAATGCGCAGCGACCGGGGAAAGAGGGCAAGGGAGAGGAGATTGAAGGGGCAAGAGAGGACCACAGAGAGAATGTGTGGCGGCCACCGAAAGAGGGCAAAAGAGAGAAGATCGAGAGGACAAAAGAGTGTAGGGCTCAAGCAACTGAAAAAAGACGAAAAACACTGAGGCAAGAGACCATAGAAAGAGAAAGGAGCAGGCACAAAATGACAAAATCAACAAGTGGGAGGAAAAAAGATCAAGCAACCCCTGAACCAAACAAAGAAAGAAGAGGAAAAGAATGACAAAATAGACATTCCACTATAAAGAGAATAATAAAGTGGGTCTACATGAACAGTAACCCACGTCCTTCTTTTAATATATTTATAAAGTGGATTCGTACTCAATTAGAAGCTACATGATCATTATAAAATACAGAATAATAATCACCACGTCATAATTATTCACAATATAATTGTCCTTTTGTTTTTCCCAAAGCAAACATGTGCACAATTATTAGTACTTTTCTTTTGTCGTATTCTCAAAGTGGATTCGTACCCAATTGGACAACTACATGATAATATTATAAAATACAAATTAAATAATCACCACGTCATAATTATTTACAATATATTTGTCCTTTTGTTATTTGTTTTTCCAAAAGCAAACATGTGCATAATTAATAGTGCTTTTCTTTTGTGGTACTATGCGAGTCACCGACTGTCCCAAATGAAAAGGTACATATAAAAATTAGGAGAAATTAAAAAAGCCCTCCTTTTGGTTTTGTATATGCTTCATCAAAATGAGGTGTATAAATATATAGAAGCGAGACTTCAGTTTTAAGTTTTAAGTGATGCCTCATTTATCTTATTTATTTAAGTTTTTAATTTTAAATTTTTATAATTAAAATTTTTTAAAAAATATAATATTTAATTTTTTTATTACAGTTAAAATTTTTTTAAAAATATCATATTTCAACTAAAATTAAAAATTTAAATTTGTAAAGTGAATAAAGTTAAAATTACTTTGTTCTCAAAGTGGATTCGTACTCAATTAGGCAGTACTAGCTACATAATCATTGTAAAATACAAAATAAATAAACACCACGTCATAAACGCGGCACTAGAAAAATGTACTATTGTTAGTCCAAAAAATGTGGCGCTATATTAACTGACTACTGTAGCTAGATTGACTCACTACTGTAGCTAGGTGCATGTAATTGTAATTTGAATCGAGGTACGAATCCCTTAACTAAACAACTCCTAAATATATAGAAGCGAGACTTCAGTTTTAAGTTTTAAGTGATGCATCATTTATCTTATTAATTTAAGTTTTTAATTTTTAATTTTTATAGTTAAAAATATTAAAAAAAATATCACATTTAATTTTTTTTATTACAGTTAAAAACTCTCAAAAAATGTCATATCTCAATTAAAATTAAAAATTTAAATATGTAAAGTGAACCAGGCTAAAATTAACGTTTGGTTCGTGTATTCAAAATTATGATTCAGAATCATTCTCATTTTACGTATATTTTTTGTGAAAGAAAACACAATAAAAAAATTATGAATTATGATTCAGAATCAAAAATATATATAAGAAACAAACAGGCTCTGTTCTCAAAGTGGATTCGTACTCAATTAGGCAGTACTGGCTACATGATCATTGTAAAATACAAAATAAATAAACACCACGTCATAAACGCGGCACTAGAAAAATATAATATTGCTAGTCCAAAAACTGTGGCGCTATATTGACTGACTACTGTAGCTTGGTGCAGGTAATTGTTAGTTTGTAATCCACCACCTTCGATCGTCGAAGCCTGATGGAAAAAGGTTGCAAGAGTATTAAAAAATGTGCGATATTGAGAAACGAAAAACATGTGCATAAATGTTATTATTGTGCTTTTGTTTTTCCAAAAACCAACATGTGCATAATTTACTACGCGAGTCACCGACCGACTGCCCCAAATGAAAAAGGTACAGATATTAATTAAAAAAGCCCTCCTTTTGGTTTGGTATATGCTTCATCAAAATGAGGTGTATAAATATATAGAAGCGAGACTTAACTTGTCATTCGCAAAATCACAGAAGAGTTCATTAATACTATACTGTCCATTCTAAGAGCTAGAAACCAACCAAAAAACAAAAACAAAAAAAAAAAAGAGAAGAAAAGAGAAGAGAAGAGCTTCATTTCTTATCCATGGCGTATCATACAGTACAGTTTTCTACTTCACTCTCGATTTGCACTAGTTTTATCAGCAGATCACCAGCATTATCATTATATCCAGCTGCTCCATTTCCAATGTCGTCAATTCAAAGACTAAGAAGTACTACTGGAGTACTTGATTCTTCTCGAGTTCAATGCGTGGCCGATAATTCTAAACAAGTTTCCAATATTAATGGTGAAAATATTGCTCGACGATCTGCAAACTACCAACCTCCTCTTTGGAAGTTCGACTACGTGCAGTCACTTGGAACTCAATACACGGTAACATTCTTCGACATTATTAATTTCATATATATATATATATATGTATATATATTAGCCTTTGTAAATACTCATTTGGTGACATAATTAATTTCTTTAATTTTTTTTGCTACTACTATTGGATTGGTTATTTCAGAGGGAATCTTTTTATGCTGAACGAGTCGAGAACCTCAAGGAAGAGGTAAGAGAGATTCTTAAAACGCTGGAAGGTGATCATATAGCGCAACTTGAGCATATAGACATCTTGCAGAGACTTGGAATATCTTATCACTTTGAGGCTGAAATACAGAGTGTGTTGGAGGAAATATACACAAATTACAATAATATGTACTCCAAGAAGAACATGAATCTATATGCCACAGCTCTTGAATTTAGAATCCTACGTCAACATGGATATCGAATTCCTCAAGGTGCTTAAATATATATTTTTATAATCTCCCTATATATAATAATTAATCCATCAAGCGATCCTTATAGTACTTACTAATTCCTCCTCATGATCATATACAAATATATTATTATTCAACTTTGAACATTGCAGAAGTCTTCAATGCTTTTCGGGATGAGAAGACGGGGAAATTCAGTACTGATGATCATACCATGGCAGCAATGCTATCTTTATATGTGTAATGACTGAGAAAATTCCAGACCTTAAATAATACAATTCATGTATTTTTAAGCCAAGGATTTTCTTAGAAAATATTATGTTATATTGTGAATGGAGGATTTATGGAATTAATATATGTATTCCTAAATTCTATAGCAAATTTCATGTTAAGTTCATGTTTCGATCAAGTAAATTCGATCGATAAATTCTCGCCGTATTTTAAGGCGGAATAATTTTCAGTACAAGTATAGTTTGAGAATCTTAATTTCAAGAATCTCTAAGCACAGCACGATGTTAGCGGCGTATAAAAAAAAACGCACTAACATTTTAAAAGAAGAAAAAAAAAATCCTTAATTGCCAGACAGTTAGGTTAAAGTCACAAGATAAATACCTATAGTAGATGGATACAATATGAGCTCGGGAGTTGACACTGTCAGAAACGTCATTCTTGGGATAGAATACAGAAAATTAAAATTTAGAATTTGTTCAGTCTAAAATTAATTTCAAGACTTGAAACAGTTTGAAATATTACGCGAGTAAGAATATAAAACATTATTGAATTATTCAGAAATTGATATTGGACTGTAAGTAGTAGATTAACTTACGTGAGCTAAACTAATTACCTCTAATAAGTATAAATTTAATCTGTTTAGAGGAAATAATTGAGGATAAGATCAGGCACGTAATCTTGCCTTAATCAGAT